AGAACACTGGAAGTTTATGTGTAGAATTTCTAGGAGACTTCAATTAAACATATTTATACAAAGGATAAAGGCTAGCACTTAGAAAATAGTGAAATGCTGGAGAGTATCGTCAAATACAAACAACATTCCAATTAGTGCAATAAATGAAAGTTCAATTTCATTGACAATTAAGAAGGGCGTTACTTACACAAATGACAGAAGAAGTATCTTCCCGTCAATATTTAAATAGTGTTTCAATGATACCAATACGTAACTTCTAAGAACTGCAGATTAAGAAAAAAAAAACAATTTAACTGAATCTCCTGTTCGTAAAGCCATTTGAGGAATAAAATGTAATTGTTTTTGAATTAAATATTACTTTTGGAGACATAATATGAAATGGAATTCTAGAGTAAAACAGAGCCGCTAGATTTTTCAGGTCGCATTATCCGTTTGCTTTGACCCTCTGGTAGGGAATTGAATCTATAAAAGCCAATAAAGTCGGTTTAGTGTAACAAATATGGAATGAATCAATTGCTCTATCGCAGTAACAGTTGAGTGTGCGACTGAGAACTAATTCTGCATCTTTTGTAGGGTGACATCAGATATGATTTTTATATCATGATCATTATGGTTGCATAGGGTATAATTCATCTAATACAACCAAAACGTGTCTTAACGGCTTTAGACCCTAAGTCTCTTTAGACCAAATCCGTTTGGAAGATTTGAAGTCGATGTAGAGGTGTCCGTCTGTTTAGGTTGGCTGGTGCGCCAACATGCTACATCGTAATATTATTATCAAACTTAGATCGAGTTCGGAAATGGGTAATATCGGTCTATTCCCTTTGCTACCTGCCCCACAAAATGTCAAAATTTTCAAAGAAAATAATTTACTGCACAGAAAGAGAAAGGATAATCCGATTTTGCTCCAACTTTGTGAATCCTAATATTTGCATCAGTGCAAAAATGGACAATATCGGCCCACTCCTTCTAGTACCTCCCCCACAAAGGGTCAAAATTTTGAATAATTATAACTCTTATGAAATGTAATGCAAGTGTCCGATTACACAAATCACATTATTTTTATTAACCCCTGGTCTGGTGTGAAAATGGTATATATCGGTTCACTCCTTCTGGGCAAAAATTGAATATTCATGAAGCTCATAAAACATGAAATTAACATCCGATTCCATTCATGATTGGTACATCTCAATATTTCCATCAACACAAGATCTGTTATAAAGATGGTAGAGATCGGACCATTCCTTCTGGTATCTCACCCACAAAGGGTCAATGTTTTGAATAACCAAAAACTATTATAAAATCCGAAATAAGCATATTTTACACATCTCATTGCTTCTTCTTGCACAAGATCTTCCTTATGTGCAAGGTCTGGTGTAAAGATGGAATATATCGGTCCACTCCTTCTGGGACCTTCCCCACAAAGGGTAAAAATATCTTAATATTTCCATCAACACGAGATCTGTTATAAAGATGGTAGAGAACGGACCATTTTTCTGGTACCTCCCCCACATAGGATCCAAATTTTTGAAAAAAAACAAAACGCTCAAAGCAAAGCAACCAACTCTCCAAATTTCACACATCCAAATATTTTTGATAACGCAAGATCCGTTGTGAAGGTGATATATATCTGCCAATCCCTTCTGGTACCTCACCCACAAAGGGTCACAAAGTCGGTGATTCTTCAAAACTTACCAATAGTAATTTGGTGGCCTATAGAACTGCTTGATTGGCATTTCGTACATGTAGTTTCCCAAGAATGTTTACCTCTTGATTCGGATCGGCGTTTTAAAGAGTTACATGCTTTGTCACATATTCATTGTTTACTATCGCGACTTGTCCCTAGCTGAGAAGGTACCTCCACAGTTGACAATTGGTGATAGTTACTAATGGCTGGAAAATGGACAAAATTAGCATCCTACTAGAAAAGGCTTAGCTCCGCTCGTGTTATAAAGATTCAAATTCCTTGCTATTGAAAAAAAAAAAAACATAACTTGGATCTCAATTCATAATGGTCACTATTCTCCTGCTCACCTAAGCACCATATCACTGATCGAGAGTAAAAAATGTACTTAGTGAATCTTATTTTTGTATGCAAACAAAAAAAAAATATCATGTAACGGCGAAACAGATCTTTATGCATTATTGAATAAAATTAAATTAACAAACAACTTAGAATACCGTTTTATGCGTTTTATAGTAGTTTAGATAAAATAATTAACAAATTACAAATTGACAAATGTATTATATTTTAATCATACATCTAATTTAACAAAAATATATCACAAAAATAAAGAAAATATTGTATGTTTTCGGAAAAAAGGAAGTATTGTTTTTACTATCTGTTTGAAAACTTTAAAATGGCCATAACTCCTTAAATATTGAGTTTTCAGCGTTTTAGCTATTATTTGTGATCACTTTTTTAGGAGTGAATTGATGAAAACTTTAAAATGGCCATAACTCCTTAAATATTGAGTTTTCAGCGTTTTTAGCTATTATTTGTGATCACTTTTTAGGAGTGAATTAATGAAAACTTTAAAATGGCCATAACCCCTTAAATATTGAGTTTTCAGCGTTATTAGCTATTATTTGTGATAACTTTTTTAGCAGTGAATTAATGAAAACTTTAAAATAGCCATAACTCCTTAAATATTGAGTTTTCAGCGTTTTTAGCTATTATTTGTGATCAATTTTTTAAGCACGAATTAATAAAAACTTTAAAATGGCCATAACTCCTTAAATATTGAGGTTTCCTTAAATATTGAGTTTTCGGGGTTTTAGCTATCAATCGTGATCACTTTTTTAAAAGTGAATTAATGAAAACTTTAAAATGGCCATAACTCCTTAAATATTGAGGTTTCCTTAATATTGAGTTTTCGGGGTTTTAGCTATCAATCGTGATCACTTTTTTAAAAGTGAATTAATGAAAACTTTAAAATGGCCATAACTCCTTAAATATTGAGTTTTCAGCGTTTTTAGCTATTATTTGTGATCACTTTTTTAGGAGTGAATTAATGAAAACTTGAAAATGGCCATAACTCCTTAAATATTGAGTTTTCAGCGTTTTAGCTATTATTTGTGATCACTTTTTAGGAGTGAATTAATGAAAACTTTAAAATGGCCATAACTCCTTAAATATTGAGTTTTCAGCGTTTTAGCTATTATTTGTGATCACTTTTTTAGGAGTGAATTAATGTAAACTTTGAAATGGCCATAACTCCTTAAATATTGAGTTTTCAGCGTTTTTAGCTATTATTTGTGATCAATTTTTTAGGAGTGAATTAATGAAAACTTTAAAATGGCCATAACTCCTTAAATATTAAGTTTTCAGCGTTTTTAGCTATTATTTGTGATCACTTTTTAGGAGTGAATTAATGAAAACTTTAAAATGGCCATAACCCCTTAAATATTGAGTTTTCAGCGTTATTAGCTATTATTTGTGATAACTTTTTTAGCAGTGAATTAATGAAAACTTTAAAATAGCCATAACTCCTTAAATATTGAGTTTTCAGCGTTTTTAGCTATTATTTGTGATCAATTTTTTAAGCACGAATTAATAAAAACTTTAAAATGGCCATAACTCCTTAAATGTTGAGGTTTCCTTAAATATTGAGTTTTCGGGGTTTTAGCTATCAATCGTGATCACTTTTTTAAAAGTGAATTAATGAAAACTTTAAAATGGCCATAACTCCTTAAATATTGAGTTTTCAGCGTTTTTAACTATTATTTGTGATCACTTTTTTAGGAGTGAATTAATGAAAACTTTAAAATGGCCATAACTCCTCAAATATTGAGTTTTCAGCGTTTTTAGCTATTATTTGTGATCACTTTTTTGGCAGTGAATTAATGAAAACTTTAAAATAGCCATAACTCCTTAAATATTGAGTTTTCAGCGTTTTTAGGAGTGAATTAATTAAAACTTTAAAATGACCATAACTCCTTAGATATTGAGTTTTCATCGTTTTTGGCTATTATTTGTGATCACTTTTACTTTGTAGGTCTAAATTTAGCTTTATAAACGAACCGCCGCGTTGAAAATGTGCCTCATCGAACTAGATCGATTTACATGAAATTTAAGGACCCAATCAGCAATGATATGGCGCTGTTTATGGTAGACTGGCTTGAACTTTTTAATCCGTAAGACCCATGTCTTTAGGCGAATTAAGGTGCAATGACGTTCTTCCAATGCACAATTCCAAAAAAGTACGAAGATTGGACTAACCTGTGGTCTCTACCATAGTTTAGATTACAGAAAGGTGCTCTTTCGGAATGTTTATGGTGTTATTCTTTACATCATGTACTCTTCGAATTTTTGAGGAATGCGAACCAGAAATGATGCCTGTTTTATAATTTGTTAATTGATTTACATCATGGAAATTTAAAGCCAACTTACCTCTGTCGTTGTCTTCTGAGCTGTTCCAACAAAGTGCGACCCGTAGTAGCTTTGCTTCCAATAATCAGTGAATCGCATGGTGGCATGTGACAAGAGTCAATGAGGAATTATTGCTTACAAGAAAATGGCGGAATTATTTTCATATATTGAACTTTGTGGGAGAGGTACTTGATGGAGTGGACCGATATTGCAAAGTTTCGCATCTGACCTAGCACTGATGCAAATATTTGGATTCACAAAGTTGGAGCAATTCTTTCTGTGCAATAAAATATTTTTTTTGAAAATTTCAACCTTTTGTGAGAGACTTGCCAGAAGAAAGGGGACAATACTGCCCACCTCCGAACTCGATTTAAGTTTGATAATAATATTGCGATATACCAAGTTTAAACCAAAACGGATACTCCCTTCGAGAGTTGTCGTGCGCACCAGCCAGCCAGACAGACGGACATTGCTGGTTCGACTCGACGAAATGTTCTGAAACAGACTTGGTCCAAAGAAATCTAGGGTGTAAAACCGTTATTTCGATGAGGCACGTTTTGGCCGTATCTAATGATATATACCCTCTCTAGCCATATGAGGCTATAATAAATAAAAATGCATTCAATAATTTATTTTTCTTTTCATTACTATTTTTATTGCCTTCGTTTGCCTTTTGGAGTGTTGCTGTTGTGGTTGGTGTGTTTATTGCAAATTTGTGTGTGTGTACGTGTATTTTGTATTAAAGAGGGGTATTATTGTTGTTATTTTAGCATTAAAAATCTTCTTTGTATTCAAATAATTGAAAAAACTGTAGGCTAAAAAAATGTATTACTAATCATTATTCTCTTTTATGCTATGTATATATAAATATGTATGAATGTTTGTGTTTCGTTTTTTTTTTTTTTTTTTTATTAAAAATGTGTTGGCCTTTTAAATTTAAAACAATTTAAAAAGCCTTCAGCATGCATAGCATTGCTACAATATTGTTTTTGTGTTTATAATTTCTTTATCTAAAAATAATTAACTAGCCTAAGTTTTGTTATTAAATATAAATCATTTGAATTTTGTTTGTTTTGTTTGTTTGTTATTATTAAAGCGTTGTTATGTTTTAGCACTAAATTGGTTCCACTAGACGGCTACTACGCTCTACCACTCTCTCTCTCTCTCTCTCTAATACTAGGATTTTATACAGGACACATCTTGTCCTCTCCATCATACACGAAAAGCAAAAAAATAATAATCTCTAAATGATAACAAAAGAGCTTATTTAAATGTATTTTCTTTTCTCTTATATAAAATATCATCCTCATCATTATTGTTATTAATATTACTTTTATAAAATTCGTTTAATGTGTTCGCTTGAGTTTCATTTAAATAAATTCTTACGCCAAAAAAACAATACTTGAAGTTTTTTTTTTTAATCTAGAGTTAAATTTTAAAAATATAGTTTATAGTCTATTTACAATAGTAGGCGTGTGTATTGGAGCAGACTAGAAGATTTATTTCTTGTTGTTGTGGCGTTTCTTAGCAGTTTAGCTTAAAAAAGAAATTGGTAGAAAAATTAATTATTTTTATTAAGAGTATAGTAGTTTTTAATAATAAAATACTTTCAAGTTGATAACGCTGTAAAGGCGGAACTCATTTGGAGTAATCTTGGTTTTGTTTAAATAGTTAAAAAATAGTTAGTAGCTAAATTTTCAAATGCAGTTAAATCACATTTGGCAAAGCAAATGAATAAAATGCTACAGGCAAGAGTTTAGAATCCGAACAAGAAAAAGTTTTCATTTTTGGACTGGCCATCATTTATATTTTCAAAATCAATAATTGGAAGAAACGTACACTGGGGTGGGTGCGCATTAAAGATATTAACCAGCAGTTTTGCCATGGAATTTAAATATTGAATAGAGAGAGTTTTATTCGACATTTTTTATGCTGAGAACTTACTAAATTTTACTACAAAAACTTGTTCAGAAAAGTTTTGAGTTCTCGAAAATATTACTAATTATTGACAAAATCTAAAAAAAACAATGATTTTTCATGAGAAGTTCATTGAAACATTTATCTTGAAAAACAAAGATTTTTGTCCAGGAAGTTTTCCAGGGTGAGATGAAAAAACTGCAACGAACTTCAGATTGCTGTCAGAGACAGAGACAGCTCACTATATTGTTTACAAGCGTACAAAGACATTTTGGTGAGAATTTTCTAGAAAAAAAGTTATTCGTGATGGATTTTAAGCGTGATAGTGTGATTTCTTTATATTTGGCTAGAAAACCACAAGTGGCTATCCAGCAAAGAGGTCAGCTTAAAATGTGCACCTTCGGTTGGCCAACAGAACTCAAACGCCGACCATGGTGATGGTGTGGGCCGCCATAACAGCCGATGCTCGCTCACCGCTCGTATTAATCGACCCTGGCATCAGAATAAATGCCGAATATTATCACGAAAATATAATGGAGGGTGTATAAAGCCTTAAGAACGCAAACATTTGTCCGCCACACAAGAATGGTTACAAAATAAGGTGCCTCGCTTCATTTACAGCGCTCAATGGCCACCATAATCTCCGGATACCAATCCGTTGGACTATTGTGTCTGGAGTATTTTGGAAAGCAAAGTTTGCACTAAAAAATACCAAAGTGTCGATCACCTCAAGCAGCCGCTTCGCCAGGAATGGGCCAAAATACCGCAGAGCAATATTTGGACAGCGTGTGACGGTTTCATTCGCCGTTTGAAGCCTATAAATCGTGCCAAAGGTGACCAATTCGAACAAATCTAACCTTATTCTAATATTTGATGCTATTTCCGACATTTTTTTACTTTCATTCAATGAAATTTAAAAAAAAAAGTAAAAAAGTATGGCTTTTGACTTTGTTGTAGTTTTCCTATCTCGCCCTGTATTGCTTTTAAAAAAGGCTTATGAGATCACCAAAAATGAAGAAACTGAAATAGTCGAGCATTTGGGTCTTATGGGGGCCAAATTTACCATGATCCTCATTCTACGACACTAAACCAGCAGTCATTCTTTTGTTTTTCAAAGGATTAAAGTGAATAATTAAAATGTTTTTTTTTTTTTGGAAACTCTGTACTTTTTCTTAATTTAAGATGTGATGGACCAGCATATCTCCGAGTGGAGTAGTATTACAATACAACTACGCATTCTTTACTGATTGGGTCCTTGAGATGCATAAAAAATATTGGGAATTCCATTGAAAGATCATTTTGACAGATGATGCTCATGTCCACTTCCATAGCTACGTCGAAAGTGAAATTTTCCAATCTGTAGCTCAAAAAAGGGCAACAGTCACCTACCGACATGGTCAATTTTGATATATTCTCTGAATATTTTTCTCAAATTTGTTTGTCTGTTGAGACACTGAGAGCTATAATTTTACAGGTCTACGTAAACAGCCCAGGGTCGATTCAATACCTGATTGGGAGTCTGACACTTTCGAACGTTTGCTTCACCATATCACAACTACACTAAAGACCGTATCCGCTATCCCCAACAAGCAAATATAGGTGGGCTATAAATATATTGAATTAATCACGAATTAACAAAACACAGCTGATTTGTTTAGATATTGGGTGCCAGAATCCTCAATACATCAACAATCAATAAGTACCATAATGTAGGGGCTATACACCTGCATTGTTTTTTGTGAGAAGTTAGCCACTGAGAACCCGAAAAAACAAATTCAGCTGATTTGGTTGAAAATTGCAAGGCCAAATTGGTTGCTATAGTTACAAATGGATTAATATTAATCCAATACCAATATAACATCAATGCCTGTGCAAAATTTCAAAGGTCCAACGTATAAAGTTCAAGCTCTATCCTCATTTCAACAGAGAGACAGACATGGAATTTTTTGCTGATCATATGGGTTTCCCTCAGAATATTTCGAGGTGTTACAAACAGGTTGATACATATAATATGCCCTTATTTTATGGTGGAAAAGCCAATCGAAGAGAATCTATATAACGAAGAGTTTATCTCTCTATTAGATAGTGCTTATCGTAAATGGCAACGTGTTATTTTAAAGAGCTTATCATACAATTAATGTACTAATAATTGATAATAGCTTCTCAAATGAAACTTTCGAGATTGCGAAACATTTTTTTTAGAATCCTATTATTTTATAAATACATACATATATTTATGCACAGGAAAACTTAATAATTTACTTATAATTTACGTCTTAAACTAATAAGTCTTTCAAAAAGTACATAAATATCTTTTAAACTTGTACCATTTTTTAATGTTTATATTTACAGCTAAGCACGTAACAAAATATGAAACAAAACCAAGATTACTCACTTGAATATCCCCCACCTACTTGTCTTCCTTCGCTCTATCTCTGCACTTGAATTGCCCCCCGGAATCCTAAAACTTACTCCATACCTTATGTCTGCACCAGAATATGTGTAAATAAACTATGAATACGTCTATCCTTCTCCGTGTATACCAATGAATTCAGACCATCGGTGTTGTAACGCAATGCTCCCGATCGCAAAAGGGTTACACGATTCTCATTCTTTTTCTCAGGTTTATGGCGTAGCATTGTATACTCATTGAGATGTGGTGCAAAACGGCATATATCGATGTTTCGTGACTTCAGGCGTTCAAACAAATCATCATCCTCACCACCCCAACCTTCGTACATATTCGACATGCCATTAATGGTGCGGAATTGTTGAGTCCTTATGGCAACAACACCGCCAAAGAGACCACGATAGGGCAAATGGAAACGCCACATATCCAAAGCGGCACACATATGCCTCGGCAACTCTGTGCAGGCATACAGACTACCCAAATTCAACGGCATCAGATCAACATCATGCAATATCAGACATGGGAATTCAAATTCAGCTGCAATCATTGAACCAATATTGAAAAGTTTCGCACGATTAAAGGGTTTTTGGTCATACTGTTCCACCAGAAAGATACGATAGTGTACCTTTTGCAACCTCAAATAATTGTGCATATAGGAGAGGAATTTATGCAATTGCTGCTCTCGCTGCCTATAAGGCACTATAATAGCTGAGCTATACTTGGCGCGACAGTCTTCTGGAAAATATTCGCCGCCCGGCAATATTTCTTCGGGCTTCAGGACCTCATCACTGTACTGCGGCGTGTACATGAAACGATTCTCTTGTATAATATCCTCATAATGGCACTCCTCCATGTGTTGTTGGGAAATATTTGTTGTCACCTGCGACACCAAGGCATCGGGTATGTCCTCGGCACTCAAGTAATCATAATGGGAAGCAAAGCGATGTGGTAATATGGAATATATCAACAATATACAGCAGGTAACTTTGGCCAACAATTCAGCGAGGTGATATTTTCTTTGGAATATTTTTACACTTTTTAACATTTTTGTTGTGGTTTTTTCTGTTTATGGTTTAGGTTTTGCACTTGGTTTGAGATTTTCGAAGGCTTCTTTACGATTAGCTGGACATTTTCTTGGGGTTAACAGCCGAAAATACTAAGGTGTGCTGCTGAGGCCTAATTTCTTTTCTTTCTTCACTAGAATTTTAATTATGACTTGAGTGGCCTCTTTGATAATCGCAACGAAACCCATATCCCAGGTATGAAAACAAAAACAATTGCACGAGCAAAATTGAAATTTGTTGTTTCTTTTTTCATTGTGTCATCAGCTGTTCTAGACAGCTGCTGTGCAGAGTTGTATTGCCGTATGAGTTAATGCGAACCCCACATTGTTTACAATGAGAGTGAATGCGAAATTTATGGCGCCGAAAAAATGTTGTGAAGAGAGTAAAAATTAGCCGGTTACGAGTGCGGGAATAATGGATTGGGAAGTAGTACAATAAAAGAATCATTGCTAGAAATTTTTTGTGGATGTAGCAGGTTGACACATACAATTTTTTTAATTGGTAGTCTTGTTGTATTGTTTTGAATAATAAAGAAATTATTTTCGAAAATGTTCAAATTCTGTAGAAATTTAAATTAATATACAGTAGCTCCAAGCGAAACTCGTACACTTAGCAAACAATTTTCTTTCATGCAATATATGATTGTTATCAAATTCACTAACAGAAGAGACCTATATTTGTTATTAGTGTATAGGGTACTTGAACTAGACGTAGAACAAAAGTTTACTGTTTTTATTTATTTAACAAAATGTTTTAAACCGTTTTATGATTTGATTTGGGAAAAGTATGTTGTCCTCAAACATTAAAAAATATACTACATAAGTCGAAATACAATGGAAGAAGAGCTGGACATAAACCTCTAATCAGCAAGCGAAATTAAGAAGTAAGATTGCGATTTGCCATGGAGCACATATCAAAAGATTTTTCATTTTGGAAGAATGTCCTGTTCACGGATGAGAGCAATTTCAACCTTTTTGGTTCAGATGACAGACCTTATGTATGGAGAAAGGCAAATTAAGCGCCAACAGTGAAGCAAGGTGGTGGGTCAGTAATGTTGTGGGGTTCATTTTCAATCTCTGGACCTGGTGTATTGCATTTTATGGAGGGTACATGGACAGACTATGTACCTTAACATTTTAAAAGAAGTTTTCCACTTTGTAAGGAAAAGCTCGGCCTTGGCGAAGATTATTATTTTTATGAAGACAATGATCCGAAAACAAGGCTTATAAAGTGCGGTTATGACTGCTATATAATTGTCTTTACGTCATGGATACACCAGTCCAGAGTCCAGACATAAACCCCATAAAGAATTTATGAAGCTATCTCGATGTAAAAATCCGCCAGCATACCATATCTTGCAAATACGATTTGAAGAAAGCTTTGTTGGAAGAACGGCAAGAAATTGAACCTAGTTTCTTAAAAGTATGCCAAATAGGCTACAAATGGTAAAAAAAGTAAATGAATGCATACAAAATATAAATGTCCCAAAATACTTTAAATTTTCGAAGTGTACGAGTTTGGCCCTGGCATTGAAATATGATCTCTTTTAATATTTATTTTTTATTTGACTTTAAATGATTTTTTTTGGTTTGTGTACTAATAAAATGTAAAAAAAAACATTTTTTGTAAATTTTGATTTTTGAAGTTATAAGAAAAATAAAAATGTTTCTGTAGCTGTACGAGTTTCGATTGGAACTACTGTATGCAGCTCTTGGGGAGAATAAATGTTTGTGTTTTGGGATGAAAAGAAGCGTAATACGATACAGTGTATTTGTCCTACCTTGTAATTATTTTACCACTGGTTCACATACAATAGGATATTTTAAAGTATGTATTCAAGTTTGTTGTGATTTGGAAATTATCAGGATTAGTCCTGGTAGAGATTTTATGTAAATGTACTTTAACCCGACAAAAACTGAATTTAGAAAATACAGTGTATGTGCTTTAAAAATGACAGTAATTGGTATTTGTAGTTCGTAATGATTTTAGCCCCGGTGACGGAACATAGTATAAATAGATCCACGTTTTGGTATAGCCCCCATATTCGGTGTTTTAACGATTTTTGCAGCATTTTTCCACGGATTTGTCTAAAAATTATTATTTTTAGTTCGTAATGGGTTCTAGCTGTATTATTTTGTAGTATTTTGATGATTTTTTGCCACAGTTTCCCACGGATTTGTCTAAAAATTGATATTTGTAGTTCATAATGGGTTCTAGCTCCGGTAGCAGAACATTGAATATGTAGGTCCACGGTTTCCTATAGTCACATTTACCCACGAAATTGTTTCAAATTTGGCATTTAAGAAGATTTCGTAAATGACAATCCTTGAAGTATAAAATTGTCTATAGAGGTTTCCGTTTTGATATGGCCCATATAACGGCTTCACCCAATTATGTTTTTTTTTTCTTTTTTTTTTTGAAAAGTTTAAAAGCATTATCCAAACCTTCTTACTGGTATTTATAGTTTAAAGTGGAACACGATTGAACTCAGATACTTATACATAAGAATGTTTTCTCTACCCAATGGTGGAGGGTATTAAGAGTTCGGCCCGACCGAACTTAATGTTTTTTACTTGTTTTAATTCTCTTTTGATTGTGTATATGTACGTAAACAAACATCAGATGAGCGGCATTTCTATCCTCTAAGCCCGCAAAGTTTATCCACTAGATCTATTAAATCCAGTGGGTTAATATTCAATAGTATAATGCTATTGACCCCATATAGAATCAAAGCGTAACCCCACAACAACTGATCATTATTTAAAAAAAATGTTTTTATTCTAAAAAAAATAATGAACTATCCTTTCAGTTCAAATCTTCTTATACTCTTGGGTGCATCTAAGAAAAAATTTCTGATATATTTTAGTAGACAAAAAAAGGCCAATTCCCCCGAATGCGGCGAAAAGTCAAAGCCTGATTAAAAATGACAAGTAGATACTTTAAGTTAATTTCAAATACAAGAGATATGAAAAGTCACATTAATTCCGAGCGAGAAAAGATAAGATAAAATATGAAATTATAAAATCCCAATGGTGAAGGCGTACTAACTGCAAAACACAGAGTGAACAATAAAATACTAAATTGTATTGCGTTTGCAAAATCAAACAAAAGACAGAATACACATGAGACATGAGGAACGACTTTTCAATGCCCTACATATCGATCTAAGGCGAGATTACACATCGTTATAGAGTCATCGTGACAGAATCAAAAGGATAAGTTGTAAAACCATATGTTTACAATTTTTTTTTCAACATTTTTAATTTAACAACAAAATGTATATTTATAAATCCATTGCATATACACAAATCAGAAGTGGGAACCTGTGTTCTTTACAATGGGAATGTTTTTTTAATGACTACCTTCTTAATTCTACCATGAGAGTCATATAAAGTAAATTTCTCCGTATTTACTCAACTACAGAAATTGCCCGGCAGATTCTTTCTGAGGGAATTAGTTAATTCATCAAATTTTAGAATAAGTTTAGATTTGTTCGAATTGGTTACCTTTGGAACGAGTTATGGCCTTCAAACGGCCAATGAAGCCGTCACATGCTGCCCGAATGTTGCTCTGCGGTATTTTGGCCCATTCTCGGCGAAGCGCTTGCTTGAGGTGATCGACACTTTGGTACTTTTTTGTGCCAACCTTACCTTCCAAAACACTCCAGACACAATAGTCCAACTGATTGGTATTCGGAGATTTTGGTGGTCATTGTGCGCTGGAAATAAAGCGAGGAACTTCATTTTGTAACCATTCCTCGAGAAAACCAAATTCGGCAGTTAACCAATTTCGACCAAGCAAAGCAACTCTATAGCTCTTTTGAGTCTATTTTCTTTCCGTTGCGGTGTAAGTTCTTGCACTTTTTGGAATTTCAATGGCTTTACCCCGAGCTCATTTTTCAATATTTGCCGAATTGAATATTGCGATATGTTCAGCTCACAATCCTTTTTTCGGCTACTGCGACGCGGGTTTCGATCAAGTCGCTTCTTTACTTTTCGAACCATATCTGCTGATATTACGGTTTTCTTCCGTCCATTTCCTTGACGTCGGGCTACGCGACCAGTATCACGGTAGCGAGCGATGGTACGAGACACAAAATATTTATTCACATTTATATGGAGTGCTCTTACAATAGCCAATTGTGGTTTTCCAGATATATAGAAATCACACTATCACGCTTGAATTCCATTACGAATAACATTTTTTCTGGAAAATTCTCACCGAAATGCTTTTGTATGCTTGTAAACAATATAATGAGCTGTCACTGGAATAAATTTAACAGCTGTCGGACGATTGGCTTAGAAATACCAGCAGTCTGATGTTGGTTGCGGTTTTTTCATCTCACCCTGTAGGCATAAGATTTCCAAAAAAACCATATTTTAAAATTTCATGCCCAAATATATATCATCGGAACGAAAAGAAGAAGAGTTGTGAGTGATTGCAAGAATTGTATACGGCAAAAAGATTTGTCAAAATTTCTCTTCCGAACCGTTTTATTTTCTGAACGATTTCCAGTAACAATTTTCAATAATTTTTAAAAATTTAAGACATGTCTATTCCTAAATACTCCCTGAATAGAGTCTGTTTATTCTAAACTTCAGTAATAAATGTCTTCTATTAGCCGTATGCCTTTAACCTGGATTAAGTGTCTTCCGTAGCTTGAAGATCTCTCATGGGCCTTCAAGTAATATTACATCATGTATAGTCTTCTTGTAGAGGCAAACTTCCTTCTATATTTCTCCATCGGACAACCAATCTTTTTTTTTTTTTTTAATATGCTACAAACGTAATAAACAACTAAGTATACCCTCTCTCTCTCCCATTCCATGACAATGAAAAAGAATGAGCGAGGAAAATAGAACGCTAAAGCAAACGGTCGCAGCTATTCAAATATTAGTTGATTTTCAGTAACGTAATTGAAACCAACATGGAAGTATTCATGGCATTTTCTATAACAATAAAAATAAAAAATTAAAAAAAGAAGCAAGTGCTAATTAAAAATTATAAACAAACAAGAGATATGATTGAACAAAGGCTTTTAATAGTATTATGCTACGGGCTAATGTTAATGGTGGCGGTCGAGGCAGAAAAAGAAAATGACGACGATGATTATGATGATCGTTGTAAGTGAAATTATTGTCAACGAAAATAAAATTCGTGAATTGAATGTAATTTAATAATTGTCATTCGTTGTTGTTGTTGATCTATTTCTCCATAGTAAAAAGTTGTTCACTGGATACACCTCTACTCGTCTGCCCACCCAATTCCCTTTGTGCGCGCATCAGTTCAACAGAACCGAGTGATTTAAAATGTATATGCCTGCAAAATTATCATCTGAATCCGAAATGGGAAGAATCGGATGATTTTACACCAACATTAGCACCAGAACAGGAATATTGTTTGCCTGGTGCCGAAACCAATGGGGATGAACCCCACAAAATAGTTGTCTATCTTCGTTCTACGGCAAATCCCCAACACTTAGTATTTGGTATTGTTATGGTTCTGCTGGGTGTCACTCTAGTCACGGCAGTATTATACGGCATTAAAGTCTTAGGACCCGTCAAACGCACAAAGGCGGCTTATAAGATGTTGACGAATCGTCGCAAAAATATAACACCCCTACAAGAAATGGATGAATTGGAAATGAATCGTCGCTATGAAATGCAAACATTTTAAAAATAAATGCACGACGAGGAGTTGTGGTATTGTTGAGAGACTTTCATAAAAGACTGAATGTGATATGAAAAGGAACTTTAAAAAGTTTTCAATTTGAATTGAATTGTTATTGTTGTGATATTGAACGAGAGTGTTTTTAAAATGTTTGTTAATAAAAAATGTTTTTACCGTAAAATAAATCAGACCCATGTATTTCTATACCCTCCATCATAAGGTGTGTCTGGTTACCCTAAAATTTGTAACAATTGTTACAAATTGTTACTGGAAGTCGTCTGTTAACCCAAAAGTTCTGCAAAAGAGAGCGGTTGGAGAGAGAAATTTTGACAGTTCTTTCAGTGAGAGTTTGCAAATTCTTGCTGGAAAAATTTCTTCTTGCAATCACTTGCAACTCTTCTTCTTCTCATTCATCGACATTCAATCAGATGTTTTCTATTGTTTGTTTATTTACTTTTGTGCTTTCAATTTGAAAATTTTTTTTGGAATTAGAAAGACTAATAGTTTTTGGAGAAAAACTTTACAAAATGTGAAAAACGTAAATGTTAATATGTAATAAGAAAATAAAAGACTATTTCTAACATTTTTATTTAAAAAACTTGTAAAATTAGTATTGCTTCCTTTGTTTTAATTCTCCTTATGGGGGACAAATTGGTTTGTTTTGATTTGATCAGCTGATTAGTTGCAAGCTTCTGCAGGAATACCGTCTGTTTACTTTTCGCATTTTCCTTGCAAAAGAGAATAAAACTACCTTACTCTCTCAGAAAGAAGTTACTGGACAATTCCTGCAGGAAAAGTAACCAGACACACCTATAGTATGGAGGGTATATTATGTTTGTCATTCCGTTTGTAACACCCCGAAATATACATTTTAGACCCCACAAAGTACATATATTCTTGAACAGCATAAAATGTGGAAATCACTCTAGCTTCCGAAAGAAATGAAGTAGGTTGATAAAATTTTGTCTGCAGGACACGATTTGGTACAGCCCACATATAATTGTACCTACCTATTTTCGGCATTTTGGTGATTTAAGCGACATTATTCACCGAAAATGTTTCAAATTTGGTATTTGAAGTTCGTAATGGATACTCAGCCTATGACAGAAAATTTTCCTTGCACGTCCACGCCTTCTTCATACCACCACTCCTAGTTGGCTGGATTGATGCTATGCTCAGCAGCAGAATCATCAACTCAAGCGTCGTGAAGTGTTCTGTTAGGAAAACAGTCACTAGGGGCACACCGCAAGGAGGGGTTCTGCCACCACTACTCTGGCTCTTGGTGATAAATGAAATTCTAATCGAACTGGAACACGGCGGGACAGAGGTCATGGCTTACGCCGATGATGTGGTCTTGCGGATTGCTGGGAAATTCCCGCAAACTGTGTCAGATCTTATGCAGGGAGCTTTAGTTAAACTCGGGCACGCTGCAATATACTTGGCGTGAACCCATCAAAAAATGAGCTCGTACACTTCACAAGGAAGCGGAAAATCCCAGACTTTTCGCTACCAATAGTTGTTGGTGTTATGCTAAGCCTTTCTTTGGAAGCCAAATACCTCGGTACCATCCTAGACCAGAAACTAAACTGGAAGTGGAACATCAAGGAGCGAACGAAGAAGAGCTTAATTGCACTTTACTCCTGCAAAAACTCCATAGGAAAATGCTGGGCCTCACATAATATGAGTCTGTTACCGACCAATTCAAACCTATGGGGGGCTTGTTTGGTGGCTCTCCTTAGGAGAAACCACCTTTAGTAAAAGCACTGATAAAGTCCAAAGAGTGGCATCGCTACTAATTACAGGCGCGTTTAGGAGCACACCCCAATTCGCACTAGACACCCTAGAGGAACAAGTTGCTAGGTGTGCCCTGCGACTCAATGAACTGGGACAATGGCGGAGTCAGCCCTTTGGACACTACTCAAGTATGTGGGAAGCATAGTAAATCAGGCTATAGCTAGCGATTATATACCACCTAGCCATAGCTTTGAACTACTTGATATCCATATATGTACCTAACAGAGACATCTGAATCCGCGACACTCCACCTGTTAACGGTATAGCTGTCTATACTGATGGATCAAAGATGGAAAGTGGGACGCGAGCTGGGGTCTACTGTGAAAGTCTAAGTATCCAACGATCCTTCAAACTAAACAACGACTGTAGCGTTTTTCAGGCAGAAATCTTTGCTGTCAGGGAGGCCATAAAGCTGCTGGCAAATAGAATTAATGAACTAGACGGACCGAAGACTATATATGTCGATAGTCTAGCGGCTCTAAAGGCTCTAAAATCATTTACAATCAAATCTATGGCAGTTCTGGAATGCTTTGGATAAGGTTAAATCGTTTGTCAAACTCTGGGCACTGCAACATATCTGGCAATGAATCGGTTGATGAATTGGACAGACGAGGATCTGAGTAAGTAGATCAGATTGAGAGCTCAGTGAAGCCCACCTTATGTCACTTCTTTCAAGTATTGCATAAGTATTACCTTGGGAAATTTCAACAGAACTGGCTAACTGGAAGGGGATGTAATGTCTCCAAAAAGATTTGGCCGGTGAACTCCGAAAGGAGATCAAGGTCACTTAAATCCATGACGAAGCTGGACTTGAACTTGAATACTGCAGGCTTTGTCAGGACGAGGAAGAAACTGAGACGGTGGAGGACTTACTCTGCCACTGCCCAACTATTATAGCCCCATCCTAGCGAAACCAGTGCAATTGTGGGTTTTTCAACTAAAGATTTGAACGGCCAACGATAGCGGGGAAACTTTAGCAAGTCACCAATTTGTTTTTAGATTGAAATCACATGTCATCTTCCTTACTGGCCGTGGCGATTTTGTTACCTTATGTTTGAGGATACATAAAATGCTGATCCAAACTTCCATTTCTTTGGGCAAGTAGCCTTTTGCTTCGTAATGTTGAACCTGCTATTTTTCACGACTCCTATCATACGTGTTACTGCGCCAATTTTCAAATAGCAATCTTTTTGACTACCATCGCTCACGTAGCGCTTAAAAGATTTGGCGGAGGCCATCACATATAAATACACATTGTTTATGTATTTGCTGGGTTACCACCCTCCGGCCAAGTTTGAAACGTTGGATAGTAAACTACATGTGTGGACGCCAGTCGTACGTGGAATTCAGAAACAAGAAGTCGAGCATCCGTAGAGTTAAACAGGGAGTTCCCCAAGGTGGGGTGATATCTCCGGAACTGTTTAACCTCTACCTTTCTGAAATTCCACGCCCTCCAGACGGCATAGAGATTATTACGTACGCAGATGATTGTACGCTCGTGGCGTCCGGACCCATTATTGATGACATTTGCGATCGGTTGAACGCTTACCTTGTAGATCTTACCGCCTTTTTCACTGCGAAGAATATGAAGATATCCGCCACTAAGTCGACGGCCACACTTTTCACCACATGGACTGCGGAGATGGGGCTATCCTTGAATGTGCAGGTCGATGGTGCTATTATTCCGACCACCAACTACCCCAAGGTATTAGGGGTCACATTCGACAGCCTCTTTAAGTCGTCCGCGCATACCACAGCTATCTGCGACAAGATTAGAAGTAGGAACAAGGTCCTCAAGTCTCTGGCCGGCAGTACTTGGGGAGCTGATAAGGAGACCTTGTTGACCTCTTACAACGCGATAGGCCGGTCTGTGGTAAACTATGCGGCTCCAGTGTGGTCCGCTAACGTCAGTGCTACGCAGTGGAAAAATGTTCAGTCCTGCCAGAATGCCGCCCTTAGAACCGCAACAGGGTGCCTTCTCATGACACCCGTCGATCACCTACATGAGGAGGCGAAGGTCTTACCGGTGCGACAGCATAACAAAATGCTGTCAATGCAATACCTGCTTGGGTGTTATAGACAAAGCCATCCAAATCACCATCTTGTGGATAGGCAACCTCCGCCCAGGCACGTTAGGAAAGACCTTCATGATCTGGAGAGAGAGGTACAGAGGTATAAGAGAGAGCCTCTAGATCAACAGGCCTATCAAGCGGGACTGAATAGTATTCACTCTAATGCGGTCTCAGAAGCCATTGAAGGATATAGAGTGAATACTGTGCTAGGAGACCATCCCCCTCCCGTCGCAGCTGAAGAACGAGAGCTGCCCCGACAAACCCGAGTAGTCTTGGCTCAATTACGATCCGGATGGTGCAGCCGCCTAAATTCCTACTGGGCCCGGATCAACGGCGAAGTGCAGAACATCTGCCCAGCATGTGGCACAGGCCCACATGACACGCTGCACTTATTTCGCTGCCCAGCCAAGCCTACTCACCTAACTCCAGTCTCGTTATGGACTCAACCCATACAGGTTGCATCCTTTTTGAGACTGGACTTAGAGACAGAACCTGATTGAACTGAGTCAGAAATGGAAACCGAACGAACACATATGTATGAGCTGCTACAACAACAACAACACATTGTTTATCAATTTTTTTCTACCATTGACAGGTTCAACATACAATGTATTGTTTTAAAAGTAGAGCCATAAACATTCGTGTAATTAAATAAATTAACAAATTATATATATTTTTTTTAATAATTCATAATAATTATTTGATTTATTATCTTCAAGTGATAAATATATAAAATATTAAATAAAATAACTTTATGTAAACATAACTTAATGGAATTATAATTAAATGGAATAATATTGGGGTGGTTAATGATGAGTTGAATACCTTTTTAATGCGTCTGAAATGCGTGTTGAAAAATCAAATCTATTAATAAAAAAATTACAATTTTAGTTCTTTGAGAGCAAAATTCAAAATAAATGGTAAGATCCCGGCATCTTCTAAATCTAAAATGTCTTGGCGCATTTTCGAGTTACGTGTTGAGATGAGCTGTAATGAAAAGAAATGAAGAAAAATTAAACATGATTTTGAATGGAATTGTTCAATACAGGGTTAGATAAAAAAAACTGCAAAAAATTCAAACGGCATAATTTTTACATTTTGTTAAATATTATTGAATGAAAGCAAAAAATGTCGGAAATAGCATCAAATTTTAGAATAAGTTTAGATTTGTTCGAATTGGTCAACTTTGGCACGAATTATGGCCTTAAAACGGCCAATAAAACCGTCACACGCTGCCCAAATGTTGTTCTGCGGTATTTTGGTCCATTCCCGGCGAAGCGATTGCTTAAGGTGATCGACACTTTGGTATTTTTTAGTGCCAACCTTTCTTTTCAAAATACTCCAGACACAATAGTCCAATGGATTGGTATCTGGAAATTTTGCTGGCCATTGTGCGCTGGAAATGAAGCGAGGAACCTCATTTTGTAACCATTCTTGGGAGGCGCGTGATAAGTGCGATGGTGCTGAGTCCTCTTGGAATGTCCAAGTCTGAGGCCAAAACGTTTGAGTGCCCAAGGCTTTAATACAACCTTCAGAATATTTTCGCGATAATATTTGTCATTTATTCTGATGCCACTGTCGATTAATACGAGCGGAGAGCGACAATCGGCTGTTATGGCGGCCCACACCATCAACATGGTCGGCGCTTGAGTACTAGTGGCCAACGAAGGTGCACATTTTCAGGTGACCTCTTTGGCAAGTAAACAAGATCATTTTGTTTGTTTACCAACTTCTGGACCACGAATGTTTTCCCATCGAAGAAAACCAAATTCGGCAGTTCACCACTTTCGACCAAGCGAAGAAAATCTTTAGCTCTTTTGTTGCGGTGTAAATTCTTGCACTTTTTGCAGTTTCAATGGTTTTACACCGAGCTCATTTTTTAATATTTGCGAATGTAATATTGCGATTTATTCACATTAAAATGCTGGAGTACTCTAACTATAGCCACTTGTGGTTTTCCAGCCAAATATAAAGAAATCATGCTATCACGCTTGAATTCCATCACGAATATATTATGTTCTGGACAATTCTCACCAAAATGTTTTCGTACGCTTGTAAACAATATACTGAACTGTCACTGGAATAATTTTAACAGCTGTCGGACGAGTGGCTTAGAAATGACAGCAATCTGAAGTTGGTTGCAGATTTTTCATCTCACCCTGTATATTTTATACTTACACTTTTGATTTGATTTCTTTGTTCTTCGTTGCGACAGAATGCTAAAAGTATTGCAGCCATATGCGGCCTATTGAGACGTTCACAATTCTCAGCGAATTTTAATAGATTTAACGAGTGCACAACGGGGCAGCTCTATAAAAAAAACAAATCAAATATATTCAAAACAAGGAAATTCCAATTTCCCACTCACCTGAAGTCTGAACAAAGTCTTGTGCAATATCTCCTCCTGTTCCACCGACTTGGTTTGATTGGCATTTTTAAATGGATGCATTAGAACAAAATCCCATGCCAGAATCAAACCCTCGGTATGTAACAATTGTGGCTTGCACGACAGTAAATCCACCAGGGCATTTAACTCTTTAACCATACCAATCATGACCATACGTTTCAGTATGCCATTCCAAACTTTCGATAAATAAATATCAAATCCCAAACAAATATTTGCCAATATCTGTAAGGTATTGGCATTATGGGTATTACGCTGCCATATTGTCTTGAGTATGTCAATTTTATTGCTATTCGCAAACTTATCTAAACTCGAATTGTAACCCAGCTTTTTCAGCTCATGGACACATTTAATGGTGATATATTGCTTTTGACTCAATGTATTGTCGAACGATTTACTGCCATCATATAATTTGAAATAGCATTCGTACATTTGTAGCTGTTTCGAGGTGTTAACCGTGCTGAAAGAGAGGAAATCTTTTAATATATAGAACATATTTAAATCAAAAATAAAAATGCTTACCCATCTGCTGGAAAGATATGGGCTACCAAAAATTGCACTGCCACTTCCTTGGGCCAACTGTTTATGACATAATTTGCTCTAAAAGAAAACAAAAATATATAATATAAACATTCCCATAAACTTTTAAAATGACCAAAATATGCCACTTTACCTTATGACATTTTCAGCGGATGTCCCCGAATCCTCGTTTGCATTTTCTGCCAAATTTTGATCCTCAAACAACGTCTCATCCAACACCGTACCATCTGGTGTTTCCACCGTAAATGACAGCCATTTTTGTAACAATTTAAATTGTATTGTTTCCAAATTTAGGTTATGCAATTCGGCAATTTCTTTCACCACTGTGTTTATATCCAATTTTCCTCCCTTCAAGAGTATATCATGATGATACAAATGATATATTAACTCAGTGGGATTTTCAATGAGACGCATTGTTTTCTCATCTGTCAGGCCATAGATATACAACAAATGTTGCGTTTTCAATATGGGGAAATTTCGTTTGATTTTAATAATTTGCTCCTGGCATTTACTATCGGTTATTTCCTTTTCATGTTCTATGCAATATTTATAGCACTCGTAGGAAGCCTCCACTTGATCAGCCCCATCTGGAGCATAATTGGAAACAAAGTATAAAATCAAAAATGCCTTTGATGGGTTGTGAACATGTTTGACCAAACGTAAAATCGATTTAAGGAATGCATTATTCGTCGGCTGCAAATGCCATGTTTCACCATCATCACGACTCTTGTATTCCGTAATGGAATTCTTAACAGCAGACATACAAAAATAATCACAATTGTGGGCAATATCTGTGGAGCCCTTAAGCACTGTGTGCATTTGTATGAGTGGAAACCACGACTCACAATTATCCACATTTAATTCCGAATCTAAAATATCCTTCAGGGGTTGTTCAACAATCGGTTTGAACGGCAAACGATAGCGGGCAATCTTTGGCAAGACACCAATTTCTTTTTGCGACTCAAACCACATATCGTTTTCCAACTGGCCAGGGCGATTTCGTCGTCTCACCACCATTTTGTGTTTGAGGAAATGTAATATGCTAGTCCAAACTTGCATTTCTTTGGGTACAGCTTCGAAATACAAAAGGATTTCAATGACACACAAATATAATTCATAGAAATAAAGGTTGATCTGTGGAAGACATTTATATAAATTAAACAATTGTCCATTTATGTAGCCTAGATTCGGTGGCTTACCTCATCTATAAATTGTTTTAATTTGGATGTTAGTAATTCGGTATTTTTAATTTCATTTATATACGGCTGACACAAATTGCGTATACTGTCCACGGTCGTAACCATAACCAGTTCCTCATCACCAAAACTATCGATTTTTATTTCGAATTGCATTTCTTGGGCCTGCAGAATGCTTATGACCTGAAAAGAAAGAAAATATTCAAATAATATACAGAAAAGACAAGTAAAATAGTATAAGTCGGCAAATGTATACCCCAAGCCTTGAGTTATGATTATTCAAACTGTTGACCATTTGTGGGGGAGGTCCCAAAGCAGTTGGCCAATATTGACCAATTCGAATCTGACCTAGAACTGATTTTTTGGAAAATGTAGAAATTATACGTGAGGTAACAGATATATCGGACCGATATATTCAATTTTCATACATCATCTAATACAGATATAAATATGGGTATGTGCAAAATTTGGAGGAAATCGAACATTTATGTCCAATTTTATGCGAAATCATTAAATACGACAAACCACAAATTCATATCAGATTTCTGGTTAAGAAAAATATGTAGATATACCAAACTGTAAAAAATCGCCGACTTGTTTCGCAACTTATGATAGATATGAGTATTGGAAATTGTGACCTTTTGTGGGTCAGGGGTCAGAAGGGGTTGGCAGATATATATTTCATATTCACAACAGATCTTGCGTTAGAAAAATATGGATTGGATGGATGTGTGAATATTGAAGGGAGTTGTTTTCAAAATCTTAAACCCCAGAAGAAATGGTCCGATATGTACCATTTTTATTACAGAACTTATGTTGATGGAAATATATTGATATGGGCCAAGGCTTAATGGAATTGGATGTTAATTCCGCGTTTTATGAGCTTCATGGATATTCAAAATTTTGATCCTTTGTAGGGGAGGTTTCAGAAGGAGTAAACCGATATATCCCATCTTCACACCGGAGCTTGGGTAAACGAAAATATTGTGACGTATATAATTTGAAGAGAATCGGATGCTTATTTCGGATTTTATGATCGTTTTGGTTATTCGAAACTTTGACCCTTTGTGGGGGAGGTATCAGAAGGAATGGTCTGATCCCTACCATCTTTAAACAGATCTTGTGTTGATAAAAATATTGAGTGTACAAAATCTGCATGGAATCGGATGTTAATTTCGTGTTTTATGACCTTCAAAAATATTCAAAATGTTATACCTTTGTGGGTGAGATACTTGATGGGGTGGACCGATAATGTCCATTTTCGCACCTGACCTAGCACTGATGCAAATATTAGGATTTGCAAAGTTGGAGCAAACTGGGATTATCCTTCCTCTTTCTGTGCAGATAATTGTTTTTTTTTTTTAATGTTGACATTTTGTGGGGGAGGTACCAGAAGGAGTGGACCAATATTGCCCATCTCCGAACTCGATCTAAGTTGGATAATATTACTACGATGTACCAAGTTTGGATCAAATCGGATACTCCCTTTGAGAGCCAGACAGACGAACGGACAGACATCAATAGATCGACACCAAATGTCCTGAAACAGATTTGCTCCAAAGAGACCTAGGGTCTAAAACCGTTATTTCTATGAGGCACGTTTTGGCCGTACCAAAGGATATATACCCTCTCTAGCCATATGGCTGAGGGTAAAGAGCACCTCTGAATGGGTGCCGAAATTGACTTGATTAGAAAGAACATCGGTTGAAATTCGCGAGTGACAGTTACGAGGCGGGAGCTGTAAATGATACGTAGAAGGGTGTTCTTAAACGGCATGCCAGCTGCCAGATTTTCAGCTCGGTTCGTTGTTGAGGACTGATTTGAGAATTCTGAGAAGCGTGCATACTAGATATATCCCCTCAAAAGGTGTGCAAAGTTTTTTGGCTTTATCCAATTTCAAGCTGGCGTCTGACAGGTGTGAATACTTCTCCTTAGCCAACCTGCCTACCATCTACCCATCGCCTTCTAAAAGGTCAACATGTCTTCACCCCAAAGTTAAGCCGTTGGTTTAATTTATAAATTTGCTAAATAATACTCACTTGTGCTATCAACATTTTTTGATAGTCCAAATTGAAATCGGCACTCATTCTTTCCAGCAAAGAAACATCCAATTGTTTGTTATGGAATTCTTTTAGCAGCTGCTCTATGGAATCAATATCAGCATTAAATTTACCCTTAATGGAGGGATCTTGTTTGCAAAATTCCATGTAATAGAAATGTTTGATGCGTCTGAAAGAAAAAGATTAAAATTAAAAAAAAAATAAATTTCGAGTTTATAGAAAAGTAATCGACGTTTTAGGAGGCCAAAATAAAAAGGGAGATATGTCACAATTTTAAATAGCCAATTTATGTCTTACTTTGTCCTTATATTCTCTACATTGATGGTATCTTCCGAATGGACATTATACATTTCCGATAGTATGAGGAAATTGACTTTTTGTTGATCAGTTTTTAAATCATGTTCTAGTTTCTCCAATAACATTGTTGCATGAGGATCGGAAATGAGCATGATAAACAAATCTATAAGAAATCATAAAAATATATATTAGCATATTTTAATGTCTCAAACTGTATGAAGAGGTTTAAGACCTACCCAAGAAATTAACATCTTTTTGTGACAACAAATGGCGAAATACCCTTCCCATTTGCAGCGAAACAAAATCACAATTAATCAATTTACAATTGTGACGTCGTTGATAGTCAAGCACATATTGGGCCATGGTATACCAGACAGTGTGCATTTTATTTTTAATCAGATGTTCCAATGATACAAAGAAATCATCTTTGGCACTGTCAACATCGATTTTTATATCCAAATTAGAACCGAAAATAAATTCTTTTAATTTTATTAGCAAATGGTTAGTGGGCGGCGCCTGGACAATGAGAAAGAGTAGGGTGCGCGAAACAAATTTTACAATGTGAATGTGTTCGCTGTGATTGACCTAAAACGATCGGGGAAAAGTAATTAATTTTAGATATATATTGTTTGAATGTTTCCACTATACCTTGGTTTGAGAGGCTTGAGTTGGCAATGGTGCCACATCATCAAATACCGAAACTGAATATCTTTTCTTGGGTTTGATTTCCTGTTTTATATCAAATGAGTTATTTAAATTTGTGGAGAAATTCAGGGTTATTTCGCCCACTGTAATTTCCGAAGCATCTATGGCCTCGCAAATCAATTGGGATATTTCTTTTTCACGATTTTCATAAAACTGGGAAATGGCACCTGAACTGTAGCCGGTGGTTGCAATTCGTACATAATTTATTAATTCAGCTAGTTCACTTATTTGACCCGTCTCCACAACAGAGGCTCGTACCAACAACTCATAGGCCAGAGGAAAAGCCAAGGGATCATTATCATTGAGCAAAGCTGCCAAAGTACTTGAGTTTTGTGAGCTCTTTGTTAGCTGTATTTGTTGGGCCAATAACTCCAATGCCAATTCTACAAAATCATTTTTATTTTCCTTATTACAATCGACTATGTCCAACATGTTGTAGGTTATGGCACAGGTTATTATCAGGCATTTGGTACGTTGACACAAACGTTTAACCACAAACATTTTCGATAAATCCAAAGCACTGGCCAAATCGGAAATTTCACCCACAAAATAATTGCAAACATTATCGGTTTCCTGGCTACGTTTAATAACATTTTCCAGAGCCATGCTTAGCAGATGTAAACGATTTTGATAGGGTGCCAAATCAATAACATCGTTGATCTGTAAATCATATTTGTGTCGTAGTATAAAACGATTTTGAATGGCCTTCAAACGTTTCTGGGCTGTGGGACAGGTTTTGGGTGTAATGAATTTAAAGAATTCTATAAGATTCTTTTGCTCCACTATGCCCTCGTCGGTTAGGGGGGTGGGCGATTGTTCCAAAACCTCCTGGAAGTGCATAAGAACAATGTTAAGAAATACAATTTCTTTTATCAATTATTTTTTTTTAACAAGTTTTAAGAAAGAATTAGTTTCAACTAAGAATTCATGCACAAATCTGCAACAAATTCTCAAACTCACCGCAAACAACTCTGCAACCTCTGTAGCATGTTTCGGATTAATATCTGCCTTGAGAGATTTGAAAAAATCACATGCAACATCGGGTTTGCCCTTGCGCACCATTTGATAGCAACAATTAAAATTGGCAGCGGTAGCAATTTCTGGCGCCGCCTTTGTTAGGATACGTATGTCATCCAACATATCGGGTAGATCCATTTTTATAATACGAAACATAAACAAATTTAAATTCATATCCGATGCACAGTCAGTGGGCCAATTATATTTTGCCTTCATAATTTTGATAACTTGTATTTCATATTCTGTGTTGATTTTAAGGGCCAAGGGATGAGTTGAATAGCGTAATTTAATTAAGGGGTCAACGGTATCTGGCCATGGAACGGGAGAATTCTATAAAATATAATTTAAAATTATTATAATTTGGGAACATTTTAACTGTCTTCTCTTGGTCACCTGTAACACCAACAACGCCGATTCCAAGCGATCATCTTCATTGTGCAGAAGATCAATGCAGGCCACCGATCTCTCTAGCCAAGTGGAGAAGGAATTTCGACTAGCAACCAATTGACAAATGTAGCGCCTTATGGCTGCTACCGGGGATTTGCCTTTTTCTTGATATATGGGATAAAGGAAATCATTTACCAAACTTTTTAAATTATCCAAATGGACACGTAGTAAAATACATTTGGCCGTTTCATCAATGCTATCCTGTGGAAAAAGAGGATACATTTACATTACATATTGTTAAGCAATGTAAGGATACCTTACAAATCTACGACCCACCTGCAAATAGTTATCCAATGTGAAAATCAGATTGTAACTCTTCTTCAGAACAAACAAATCCTGTAGGGCATTAACCAAGTCACGTAATTTCGAAATATTACGTTCATGCTGACGCCGTACATCGGAATGCATAAATTGGATATCTTCAAATATTTCCGTGACTTTTGTTGAAAATTCCAAGCCGATTTCAGGCCAGTGTTCGGCATATTGTAGCGACCGGGTCTTTTCTATGCTCCAATCTGTTATAAACGGCATTATGTTCGGATGGGTATTGCTGACAACCGGTACAAATTGCCTTAGCCACTGTAAAATATTGAAGGGTTTCGTATCGCTGGGTATTAAACTCAACAGCTTTCTCAATTCATTTTCATTTAGTTGTGGTAATATGGCACATGAATGGCGTTTCCATATTAAAGATGCCATTGACATATCAGTTTTAAATAGAGAATTTATGTACTTGATTAAATTCGGATGATAGACAAATTTTTGCCATTCCATATTGACTTCATATGGATCGAGTATGGCCAATGTTTTTAGACGATCCAGCTGCTCAACAATTTCCAAAATATGCTGTTCATCCATCTGCAAATTATATAAAAATTGTGTAAAATAAGAAAATAGTTTCGAAATGTTTTCATCTACCTCTTCATCCAAATGATTAAGAACTTCCTTAAGATATTTCTCCAAAATCTTTCGGGATGGTATGTTAAACATACGATTTTGCCGGAAGAATTCTTTGTTTTCGATTTTATGTAAAAGTTCCATAAGATTTGCAAACAAATCATTTAATAGCTCCGGGTTATTCTGGTGAAAATTTCAGATTAAATATCATTTTTGAATGTTGAATATTATACTCACATCGCCCAATGAATTCATTTCAACTAAAATTTTCTTTGCCTTCGCCTCATAAATCGGCTGTAAGCACAGCTCAAATTGCCGTCCAAAATCCTCAGCCTCTTCCAAATGACCTTTGGCAATTAATTTCTTGAAACGTTCACTGGGATGGGTTTCAGAGACCAATATCATTTCCAAAATGGTTGGTAAATCATTCGAATTACATTCGCCACCAGATAAGTAATACAAATTCACAGAACATTTTGGTTGTTGAACAAGCCATGAATGTTCCGATACATCCAATTCATTGTGACATTTGAGACCTTTGAAAAGTAAATATGGATGAGTCTAAAATACAGTCCTCTAAAACATTTTGGCCTTACCTGGATAGTCCACAATTTTGATACAACGTTCCTCTTGTTTGGTGTGCTTGGTAAGAATCAAGAATTCAATATGCTCATCATTACAATCCATAACAATTAAGTTGTCTATTAGCAAGGGAGGATCTGTTATTTCCGAGGTATCCAACAAAAGTTTGGTATAGGGACAAAGTTCCAGCAAATGACCGGAATTGGTAAGGATAACACTAGGAATATTAAACATTTTATAATCCATCCTATAACCCTTAAGTCTTCAAAGCAACTTACATGAAGTTTTCCAAATTATAGATTTCCTTAACTCCCTGATACATTTCCGGAATATTCAAACGTACTATGTCATCTGGTGATGATCTCAGATATACTGCATTATAGGTTCCGGCTATTACAAGGGGTTCCATTTGCTTGCTATCAACATAATCCATATTTTGAGTGATCAGCAAGGCTGCAGTGATTTCATTCAAACCCCTTATGGTGAACAAGCGTTTCAAACAAACAATTGCAAAATGTTTCTCCAAATCTGTTATGTCGTTCTCGACCAATGAAGCGTTAAGTTTATCCTCCAAAGGACTTTCATCGATTTCAGTCAGGCTGAAAAATTAAAAAAGTGTAAAAAGCATAAATTTAACATATCCCAATAAACTCACCTGTACACACTGCCATTTGTGCATGTTACACAAAAGGTATTGCCCACCTGTTGGATACCAGCAAAAGTTTTCCCGCCCACAACATGAACGTCCTCCACTTTAATGGATTGGCTAAACAAGGGTAAACCCTTGATATAGATGCCATGAATTTCACCATCACTTAAACCACAGACAATTAAATTGCCTGTATGTGATATGGCCAGAACATCAATATTTGCATTAAAGGATAACACAAAACACTTGGCCACAAGTTCATCTTCCAGCAGGAAAATACTTTTATCCACGGCCACAACCATTCGTTTATTTTGCACCGAAGCTTGGACATGGGGATGATGTAAAATCTACACAAGAAGTAGCCAAAGGATAACAAAATAAACAACATCATAAATGCAAAGTTCCTTAACACTCACCTCATCCTCGCTTGTAATGCGAAATATTCCCCGAGAAGAGAAAGCATTTGAAATAGTTTCATCTTCCAATGGTGATTGTTCGAAATTATTCCACATCTTTTAAAAAGTTGTTTATTTTTCGTTTTCTTTTATTAAAAAATTATCAAAACTTGCACAAAATGGCTGGAATTTAAAATGAAACTTGGCAAAAATCGCGCTTGTCGTTGCTCTTCTTCTTCTTATTTTTGGCATTCACTAATGTTCGATAGCAATATTTAAAAAATAGGACAAAATTAGTACCCCATATACGTAACGTAGCTTTGTGGTGATTGTTGGGTTAAGTGGAGTATACATTATCGATCACATTTGTCGCTCTTTATGAAAGTGTCGGAAAATAAAAAAAAACAAACCTGTACTGGTGTGTTATTATGTGAAGTAGACTTTTAAAGCTTGCAACAATTGATATTGTTTACATTACAATTGTTTTACTGAATTCTTACTTTGGGGAAAAGCCAAAAAACATGAATGAAATATTGGAGTTAATCCATATAACCAAATCCAGAAAAAACAACATAAGGTCACTTTGGTTACCTTAAAATTTGTCACAATTGTTGAATATTGTTACGGGAAGTCCTCTGTAAGCGAAAGCGACTCGAGAGAGATTTTAATAGTTTTTTATAGAGTGTTTTCCGGACATTTTTTTTTTGTTATGACAACATTTCAATGTAAAAATATTTTTATATTTTTTGTAAGCTTTTAGTCTAGTAACAATTCTTACCAAAATTTCAAGCAATCAACATCAACTCTAATCATGTTTAAAAACATGTGGCAACATTTAACAAAAGAAAAAGAAGAAGAACAACTAGCTCCGCGCCTCATTTTAATGAATGCTTCCAGATGATTGCTTTTTCCTCATGGTATCCTTCGTAAACAATAGATGTACTCTGTTATGCATTACACTCATTCGTAAACACGTAAACAACAGATATAGTCGTTGATTTTGCTTTTCCTTTACTTTTTATCGGACATTCCTTTTTGCCTTTGTTATTTGTTTTGTTAGGGACGTCTTTCATTTCGGTTTCCCACGCGCCAAGGAACCCAGAAGCAAGCAGCTCTCCAGTATCCAGTATAGAAGGAAAAATGATTTATCTATGCCGCCTTTGTGCGTCATTAAAGAAACCCGACTATTTGGTCACCATCAATGATGAAACCAATGATATTTGTCAAAAGGCAAAGGTTTGCTGTCAGGTTGAGATAAAAATGAAGGATCCAAAGCCAAAACAAATTTGTCGGGAATGTGTGGAATCTTTGAATGACTGCTACAAGTTTTATATGAAAGTGAAGGATGCTCAGGAGGCTTTGGAGACAATTTATCCCGCGGCTGAAGAGGATAATGAAAATGAAGAAGATGATAGAAATGGGCCTTTGGAGACGGAGCAAGTACCAAAACAATCTGCGGAGGCACGTACGGAAAACCAAACTATATTCAAAGAAGCCGAAAGACCAAAAGAAAAATTGGTTAATAGAATTAAACCCATTGTAAAACAGGAAAAGGCTACCGTGAAGGCTGTACCCAGAAGAAGTCAAGGTCATTCGAAGTCAAGAATGATGACAAAAAAGACAGCGGTTAAAGTAAAACCTGAAAGAGTTGATGTAGAAATCCCCGCAACCATACATGCATCGTCTGCATCCAATGAAACGGAAATAGTCGTGGCTCATGAGTCCGCTGCTAGTGACAATGACAACGATGGATATCTTGAGGAAGTCTACACGATTTTAGATATGGCCAAAGATGATGGTGACCAAATTCAATTACAGAGTGTGTCAGAATATGGCAATAATAAAATTAGTAATAACGACGAAGCCAACAGCTATGTGGAGGATGAAACATCCCAAGGTTATGATATTGAAGACCAAGATGTTCATATAAATGCCGGAACAAAAGATGAATGTTTAGCTGAACAAACTGATAGTGAACGTCAAGTGTTCGTGGAAGAGAGTATTGTCGATGAAATGGAAATTCAAGAGGTCGAGGAGGAAGACGATTTTGCCAATGAAGGAACAGATGGGAATAAGGTCAGTAGAATGGTTAAGAACATTTTTTAAAAGAATAATATCAATTATTGGTTTTTTCACAGGACTTCTCAACACTACCGCCACACTTGCAGCTATCCCACTGGACATCATATCCATTTCTGTGCAGCTCGTGTGATTACAAAGCCATAACACCCATGGACTTGTTCAAACATGTCAATGCCACTCATTATATAGCTAATTTTGCCGATATGCAATATAAATGTTATGATTGTAAGAAGCTAATGACACATTATAGCTTCTTTCTCAACCTCATACGCATGAAACATCATCCAGCCTTGAAATTGAAATGTGATGCCTGTGATATGCCATTTAAGGATTTTGTGCAATATGCAAACCATCGCGCACGTGTCTGCCCACAATTGTCTCAGTATCCTGAGGTGTTGCCATGCAAACAATGCTGTCGGAATTTCCATTCCACTAATGGTCTGCAAACCCATGTCAAGCATCATCATGCTGAGAAGGGAAATAAGGAGAAATATAAATGCCAGTATTGCAACAAGGAATATACGTGGAAGAGGAGTCTGATTAATCATGAACTAACACATAGCCGTAAGTTTTTGAAAACGCTAGAAGTATGTAGATTATATGCCCCAACAAGTAGTCCAGTTGTTACGGATCATAAGCCCAGTTCGTGTTCTATGATCCCACTTTATTTGTACTTACCAGGCATTATCATAGAACTGTGTTGTACTTCATATTAAATCTGTCTTCTTTTATTTACAGATAAACGAGAATTCTCCTGTAAACAATGTGACAAGCAATTCTTTAGTAAGGCCCATTTGGAATCGCACATTTTGACGCATAATTCCGACAAGCAATATGAGTGTCATATTTGCCATAAGAAGTAAGTACAGTCATTTTTTTAAAAGGTATCATATTCACAAGTTTTTTCTAAATTATTTCCTCCTCTCCTGATAGCTTTAAAACGGGTACAATTTTGGAACGTCATCAAATGGTTCACACCGACATCAAACCATTTTCATGTAAATATTGTCCAAAAACCTTTCGTACCCGCATGGAATGTGTCACCCACGAACGTGTACACACGGGCGAGACGCCATTACAGTGTACATATTGTGATAAACGTTTTCGTTTTCGCAGTGCATTGAGTGCCCATTTGAAGGTGCATACGGGCGTAAAGGAGCATGCCTGCGAACATTGCCCAAAGAAATTTACGGACTTATCGAATTTTTATAAACACATGAGACGTAAACATTCCGATGTGAATGCTAGAAATTAGAATTAGAAGACCATCATGTATTGTATTTTTTTTTTATTATGTATTCTTATTATTAATAAATTATTATTTTAATGTTGTATAATGTCTAAGTTGGCAGAAATTTACATATCAATTAAAGTTTGGATATAAATAAGTGGTTGTGGAGGAAGAAAACTAAATACCATAGTAGAAGAATATAAGAATTCGTATCGACACAGCTGCTGGGACAATGAACTGTCAAACCAATTTTGAAATTGAAAATTTTGAATGAAAAATCATTCAAATTTGTAAAAAATATTGAAAAAACATAACCTCCGTTTGGTGTCGTATAAGAAAACATATAAAAATCTACGCCTTAACTCTAGTTTAGTAAAAACTCTTCAATTTTTTCGAAAATTTTTTCAGTGGTAGGTATTTTAACCATGATCCCGGGAAACTATTTTTTTCTTGGGGGACGGACCTGGGACCCCAGATTTTTGACCCGAAAGTCCGTGTTCGAGACCCCGACTAGACCCAGACCAACAAGTGGTCACATGATGTGTACTGTAATGTTCTAATCAAGGTGACAAACAACGTTCGCCTCCAATGCACCAAAGATGAAAGACGATGGGAGCCTTTGATATCGCTAGCGATCAGTCGGTTTAAGGGGAGTTCTTGTCCGTCATTTTTAGGCACACTGTTGTATACAGATACATATTTTTATAGACTCCCGAAGTACAAAAGAACAACTATTAAATCTAATTTATAATGGACCAGGACAGTCAGGATAAATAAAAAAAATGCCCCACCGGACTGCCTATGAGAAATATGAGGAAAACAAATAGACATGCTCAAATTAAACGGAATTGGAACCTTAGATGTTATTAGGTCCATCTCTCACCCACACCAACCTGTACCACTTAAAATTGTTTTAGGGACCCACAAGAGAGATTGCCTAACCCAGCTTTACCTTATAAGAAACCCGATGATATGTTTAGCAATTCATGGTAAAAGATATATTTTTATTTCAACCCATTTATAAAATGCTTTGGATACAATTCATACATTTGCATATAACTTGGGGTTAGAACGAACTTCTAGAATTCACACTATGAAAAATCAACAAATGCCTAATTTTTTATTATCTGGTTAAATGTTAATTCATTGTTTTGTAGGTATATAGTACTTAGAAATAAATTTGTTGTTTCATATCAGGTGGATTAAATATATATTTAAGCATACTGATAGGGATTTGTTTTCTAGATCTAGGTTAGGTATTTAATTTGTTTTGTTTTTATTCCTAACAATAGTTTCATAATTACTGAGATGATAAAATATCATTATAAAATTTAAAGGAGGGCAATTTAATAAAATATAATAAGAAAACAAAAGATTATTGTGAATGGTAACATATTTTGTTTTGTCTCATATTTGGTTATTCTTAAGTATTGAAAGAGAGCAAGAAAAAAAAACTAGGTCATCCGAACGGAGATCAAATTAGGAGATCAAAACAAACCATAATAATAATGCATAGGTGGCAATAGCAATAGGCAGAACAAAAGGTAACTCGCAAATATGCATAAAAAGAAATAAGAGAAGAACTTGATTGGTGACTTTTTCTCTAAATTGACCGTAATCAATGATAACTATGTTTGTTGTTGTAATTTTGTTTAAAACAGTGTTGTTGTTTTTTTTTTTTTTTTTTTTTTACGTAATATTTCTTTCTGTCCTCCAATAAAGTTCTTGTCTTCTAGTTTAGCAGATAATATTATGAAACTGTACTCACCCAAAGAAATTGATGTTGTTGAGGCCTCAGCAAGTTCAATCCTTTGTTGTGGGGGCTGTTAAAAAAAATGTATGTATATTTACGAACGACGATGTTTTACATATTGCCAGAATAAAATATCACTAGTATTTAAACGTTTCCATTACCATAATTTTCTTTCATATTTAATATTCTAATGCTCTTAGTAATTCTGGGTGTATGTTTTTTTTTTTTCGATATTCTCCCGTTCTTTAGCACTACACGTCACTTATGTTTCGATGCGCATTCTTGCATATGTCCGAGACAACTGAAAATCCTCGGGAAATGGAGGAGACTACGGAGTGATAGATCGGGCATCGAATTAGTGAGGCAGTTTTTTTCTCTGGGAGCTTTCGTGCTCTTAAAATTAGGGATTCGGACCGTGTGTTTTTTTTTTTTTCTTTGCACTCCAAGTTGACTGGGGAAATATTGTGAGTTTAGACTCTTGGGCGAAATGACGGGAAAAATGTGTTTTGGGATCGCCGAGTATTTAGTTGGTCCCAAGGATTAACGTGAACCTTCTCCTAGGTTTCAGATATTGTCGACAATTTGGAGCCTTTTCATTTTTGTAAATAGCGATAAGCTATATTAGCCGGAGATTGTTTAATGGTTTACAGATGCTAGGATTAGCCAAGGATATTGTATAGAAACCCAAATAAAATCTATAGAAAGGGAATTGCGGGAGAAAATATTTCCTTTGAAACTCTGTTAAAAGGCAAAATATAAGGATTTTAATACCATACCTCCAGCAATAGCTTTCTGATAGCAATCAAAATCAAATTTAATTCAGGAAAAATTTATACTTTTTCAAGATGGTAACGATAATTTCAGATAATGTAACTCGGATTTGGAGTTAGAAAAATTGAATGCTGGTAGACACGTCTGGTAGCTTTTATAAATCACGAGGAAAAGGAAGTATACATATTTCTCTTCAATAGCGTAGGGGCCTGTTTCCATCTCCTAGCGATAACAGGTGTACCTGCTAACCGATAAATACGTAGATTGTACGTTATCGAAACTAACACAATACTTTGTACCCGTTCGTACTCAAGCAAATACTTCAAAAAAAATCTCCTTAAATATAGACGCGGAAGTTTATAAATTTTGATATATTTTAATTTCCCTATTTTAGGGATTTGGGTAATTTTTCGGATATTAAAAATTGAGATCTTAAGTTGCATCCTCTATATGAAGTACCATGTTTCCAATAAAAATTCCATTAGGGCAAAATGTGAAATTTTCTCACATATATCTCTTAGAGATAAGAGGGCTCGACTTTTAGTTAAGTCTATTAGATCGATGTTGCTCTTGAGTGAAATGCTCAGGAAAGAAAAGAAGAAAACAAAATGATGAGGTTCTGTCGGAGTTTTCAACACAAGGCTGAAAACAAGGCAATCTAGTAAGTGCACAAAACTATACCAAAAAAAAAAGATCGCATGCTACAAAAATTGCTGTAAGGTATATATTTGTTTAAATGAGAAAGTAAATACTAAATTAGAATTGGTCATCAATATATCATTACAAAACTGGATAATATGGCTCTATGAGAATCAGATTAGCCAGAAAAAGATATATTTTTTGTTTATGCATTTCGATGATATATGTACCTATATATGTGTAGCTATTTATTCCCTTAAATCTTTGGCATGGAAAGTGCCCACTAATTTTCCCTCTAAGTCTTCTAATATATAATAATTACTTCCAGACTTTTCTCTGATGCGAGCTTTCACGAACAGGGGGGCAAATTTGGCATTGAATCGCTTTTCGCTGCTACTCTGTACGAAATTCCTTCGCCAGATTTGTTGACCTACTTTGTAATTGGAAGGTCTCGTCCTCAGATTATATCGAGATTGGTTTTGAGTGTAAGCATCTTTGACATGTTTCTGAAGATTACGCCTTATTAATTGCATGTTATCTTCTCGATTTAATAGAAATGATGGATCATCCATCACTTTGAGCTCTTTCAAAAGGGTATATTGTGATGCATGAGTAACCATATCTATGCCAAAGAGTACATGGTAAGGAGATATTTTTATAGCTGAGTGTCTAGAATTTCTTAAGCTGCAACTTATTGCACTGAGATTCTCGTCCCATCTAGAATGGTCTTGTTTTAAATACGCACGTATTCCTACTAGCAAAGAGCGGTTTACCCTCTCGGACGCATTACTTTGGGGTGAATATAAAGCGGTATAGAGGTGTTTAATACCCAGTGAAGTAAAGTATGCGCAAAGATCGTTTGCTTTAAATTGCGATCCATTATCGCTAACAACAATTTCTGGTACTCCATAACAATGAAATATGTCCTTTTCCAAAAAGTCTTTGATCAGTTTGGACGTGAATTTTTTAAGAGGATGTAACCAATGGAATTTGGAGAAATGATCGAGGACGATCAAAACTCCTATGTTTCCGTTTTTGCTACGAGGATACGGACCTAATAGGTCTATGTAGATCCTCTGAAAAGGTCTTTCTGAAATTGGTTGACGACCCATCTCCGGCTTCATAACAAAATTTGGAGCCTTGGATGATTTGCATATGTCGCAATTTCGAATCAAATCTCTCACATCGCGGATAAGGCCAGGCCAGAAGAAAAGTCGTTTTAAGAGGTCTATAGTTTTTGACATACCTCCATGAGAGGAAATAGGAGAATTATGATATTTGCGAATCAGATCTTTTCGAAGACCTTCAGGTACCCATAATTTCCAACACGTTTCTTCATTGCCTTCTATGCCATCGTAATGCTGGGTCCGAATGTAGACAAATTGATCCACAACATTTATATCAGGATATTTCTCTGGAGAAGCTTTAATTTTTTCTCGAAGGCTGACATATTCTGGACTCTCAAACATTGACGATTGCAAGTCTATTTCGGGTTGTTCCATGTTCAGATCGGCTATCTCAAAATTTGGTATTCGAGAGAGCGCATCGGGAACTACATTGTACTTACCCCGGCGATGGCTGATTGAGAATTTAAAGGACTGTAATTTAAGAACCCAACGAGCAAGTCTTCCCGAAAGATTGGGCTGCCTCATGAGCCATACAAGACTCGAATGATCTGTTATCACTTCGAATTCTTGCAGCTCAAGATAACAGCGAAATCTTTGGATAGCCTCTACAGCAGCTAAGCATTCTCGCTCTGTTACGCTGTAGTTTCTTTGAGCAGAATTTAGCTTTTTGCTCATAAAAGCTATCGGTTTTTCATTCCCCTGATCGTCCAGTTGTATTAAAACCGCCCCGATACCAAAATCGCTTGCATCGCAATGCAAGTAAAACTTTTTTGCGAAGTCGGGGTTCGTCAGCACTGGGGCCGAACAGAGTAAGGATTTGATTTTCTCAAACGCTTGCTGTGCCTCTGAGGTCCACAGAAATTTCTTTTTGTTGGATATAGTCTCCGTTATTGGAAAGACAATGGTCGAAAAATTTTCAATAAACCTCCTATACCATCCGGCAATTCCTAAAAATCCCCTGACTTGCCGAATGGTTTTTGGAATTGGCCAGTTTAAAATGGAACTAATTTTTTCCGGGTCTGTGGTGATTCCGCCGTCTCCAATCACGTAACCCAGGTATTTTACCCGAGTTACGCCAAAGTGACTCTTGGCTACGTTTAAAGTCAGATTTGCCTTTCGAAATTGTTCTGCAATACGGACAAGGACAGTTAAATGTTCAGAAAATTTATCTGAAACGATGATGAGGTCATCAAGATAGCCAAACACACAGGTTTTCAAATCTGCAGGAATTAATTCATCCATAAGCCTGCACATTGTTTGGGGTGCATTGCACAATCCAAATGGCATGACCACAAACTGGTAGAGTGGTCTACCAGGGACTGTGAATGCAGTGATGGCTTTTGCTTCGTCAGTAAGTCCAATTTGCCAATAGGCGTCCTTAAGGTCCAATTTTGAAATTATATTAGCCTTAGGTAAACGTGCGAATATGCCTTCAATGGATGGTAAAGGATACGCATCCTTTTTGGTCGCCATATTTATTTTCCTGGCATCTAGACATAGTCGGACTTTATTTGGCTTAAGGACAAGCCTCATGGGCGAACTCCATGGTGAACTTGATTTTTCGATAACCCCTAAAGACAACATGCGGTCTACCTCTTGATATATGAGTTTCTCCACAGCTGGGGAAACTGGGTAGAATCGCTGCTTTATAGGTTTCGAATTACCAACATCTATGTCATGTTTTATTAACTTCGTCCTACCTAGACCTTCCTTGGCAAAATTTGGAAACATCGATATGACGGTGGTTAACTGTCGACGTTCGCTGGAACTTAAAGGAAAAGAGTAAGAACTATCTTCTAGTTCGATAGGGTTTGAAGGTTGGGTATCATAAGTTTGGTTTAGATCCACAGGAGATTCCACTGAAGAGAGACTAAAAAGGGTCTTGTCAATTATATCAGAAGAGTTAAATATATTTGGCATTAGTTGGAAGCTCTTCCAGAAGTCAATGCCTAGTATTAATCTCTGGGATATCGACGGTATAATGAAAATATTGAGATTTTGGGTGTTATCTTGAAACGAAACGTTTACATTTAACCAACCCACAACTTTTTGTGAAGCCCCATCAGCTGTTCGCACGTGGGATTTGCATTTAACGAAAGAACTAAATTTAGAAAAATTTTGCTTTGCGAAATCGGCCCCTATACAGCTAATGCTGGCCCCGGTGTCCAGAAGCCCATACTCGGTAAAATTCAGAAATGAAACTTTAGCATAGTATCTTTGGTCTTTGGGGTTATTAACTATAGCCGAAACAAGGAATTTAGAACACGTTTTAAGGGTTTTGTAGAACTTTCTTAGTCTAAGAGTAGATCTCTTTGGTTTTGTTAGCGAGATTCCTGATACGGTGGGTTGGAAAAAAATCTCTTGTCTTCTATTTTGGTATGCCTCCCAACGTTTATGGTATGGCAAGGGTGGAAATATGACTTTGGTACAGTTCATACACTCTCGATTTACCGGCAGAACAAAGTCCCTTTTCAAAATCTCTACCTTTTTAACCTGGGCATTACATGATGGAGGGGGTAAGTAATTTTCGTATTTGTTGGAAGTCAAATCAGAGTTTGTGGATATCGTACAGTCAGGGTTAATAAAATGTTTAATATTGGTATCATTTTCTATGTTGGATCTTCGACAAAAATTTGACTCTGGCAGTTTTTTTGTTTACGAGAGGAACATTTTCGGCATTGTGGCTTATAAGTTTCTTTTGCTCCACATCCGTAACAAAAAATCGTTCGCTGTTCTAAACAGTCTTGCCAGTGATGCCCTACCTGGTCACAATTCCAGCACTTATAACTTGATTCTGTTTGCTGAATAGCATTTATAGAATCTGAAACTTCTTCAGGCAGTAGAACTGATACGTCAGTAGAATTGTCGATTTCTGCTATCTGCTTTCGGGGAACAAATTGATTATTGATATTTCTAGCAGTAAAATTTCTTCGAACATATTCATCATTTAATAGACTTTCCCTCATTTGGACCAACTTTCTTAAATGAGGAATGTTATTAATTGGTACATATAGTAACTCGCGACGTATATCGGGTCTAAGGTTTCGAGTTACAATCTCTATTAGTTCCATGTCCGACATTGGGGAAGGTAAACGGTCCATGATGGTAGATACCGCTTCAAAAAAAGAATCAAAGGATTCCCCCGGTTTTTGTTTGCGATTCCGCATTTCTTCTCTAATGTCAAATGTCGATTTATAATCCTTATAATGGAATTTAAAAGCATTGCAAAAATCCTCCCACTCTATAGTTCCAACCTGTCTGTGGTATCTCCAGAACCAGGTTTGAGCTTTACCTGTCAAAAGGATTGGTAGATTTTTGCAGATTAATGAAAAATTACCATTAAAGTAGTCGTTCGTGAGAATATTAACTCTATACAAAAATTCCTCGGCATGCATCGTCAAAGAACCATCAAAGGTTATACCCCAATTTCGTATAACAGATGTTATTTTGTCTGGTTGTAAGTTAATGGAATTGATGGAATATAAGTTGCTATTAGATCGTTGTGGTAACGAAGGATGTTCACCATTCTGAGAATTATTGCTAAAATTTGTGGAATGAGTAGTAGAAAAATGTTGTTGTGGATTATTAGGAGAGACGTTTCTAGTTAAACCAAGGTTTTGTAGAGCTTTAGTGAGGTTTTCCTCAATGAGTTTGTTAATAACATTGTAATCGGTGCGCGGAAGAGTCTCACCTGTAGGATAATTTTTCCTTATATTGTTTTCTTGATTTCTTTGGTTACGATTTGAGTTTGGTGAGGGAAGCTCAAGAGAATCATTATTTGTTACATCTAATTGAGAGTTTGCAAATAAATTTTTGGTTTGGCTCCGGGTATTATAATATTTAGCCATAGCACCTCTTGGTTTACCTTTGCCTTTATTGTTATTTGTTTGATGTGTTAAGCTTCTTAAATCAGACAAGTTACAAGGAGCTTTACATGATGGACAAACCCTTTCAGTAGATAAATAACTCTCAATGCATATTTGATGAAATGAATGATTACATGTCGATATCATCATAATCGGAGTTTTTTCAATCTTAACCTCATTACAAATGGTACAAAAGGAAGGAACACCGTCGTTAGTGTTATATACACTAGGTGACGGAGGATATAATTGACATTGATCCAAAATTTGAATTGGTTCTTGAGCTGGGCCTTGAGCCTGAGCTTGTTCTGGTTCAGAGGGACACGTAGGAGAATGATGAAGAGGCATTTTTTTAAGTTTTGATAATGATTGATGTTCAATAATATTTAGAGTTACTAGTTATATATATATATATATATATTTATATATATAATATATTCATATATGTATATAATTGTATTGAGAATAAGTTAGGTTTTTCGAAGATAAATACATATAAAACATTTCAGTTTCTTGATAAGGGATTATGCTGAGTTAGGTTATTAGGCGCAATTTGGAGCATGTAGGATACAATTACCGGTCTATGGATATCGCGTCTCTTGTATGAGTTAATGGATGAAGCGTACAATATTCAAACCCACGTAAGGATGTATACTAGCAATCTAAATTTCCTTCTAAATATTTCAGGATGTTTTCTAGCGTAACGCCATGAAAAAACATAGTCCATTAAAGTATTTAGTGTGGATGGCTAAGAAACATATATGCTTCACTGACAACTCATACATGTTCTCACTAGAAACTTACTGTCATGAAACCGCAAAATGCCTTCCCGAAAAAGAGGAAAAGTAAAATTATCGGTAGGTTAACTCGATTGTATTTGACTCAAGTTTCTAAAATCCAATATAATTTTTTTTAACCTTATTTCAAAGATAAGAATATTGTCGATCACAATTCTAGTTCGTTTCATGAATAACTACTTGGAATTTTAATACTACTACAAATGTTTCAGAGCCAAAATTTCACCAAATAATGGATCAACTTTGGCCCCACGTTGGGCGCCATTTCTGTACTGTAATGTTCTAATCAAGGTGACAAACAACGTTCGCCTCCAATGCACCAAAGATGAAAGACGATGGGAGCCTTTGATATCGCTAGCGATCAGTCGGTTTAAGGGGAGTTCTTGTCCGTCATTTTTAGGCACACTGTTGTATACAGATACATATTTTTATAGACTCCCGAAGTACAAAAGAACAACTATTAAATCTAATTTATAATGGACCAGGACAGTCAGGATAAATAAAAAAAATGCCCCACCGGACTGCCTATGAGAAATATGAGGAAAACAAATAGACATGCTCAAATTAAACGGAATTGGAACCTTAGATGTTATTAGGTCCATCTCTCACCCACACCAACCTGTACCACTTAAAATTGTTTTAGGGACCCACAAGAGAGATTGCCTAACCCAGCTTTACCTTATAAGAAACCCGATGATATGTTTAGCAATTCATGGTAAAAGATATATTTTTATTTCAACCCATTTATAAAATGCTTTGGATACAATTCATACATTTGCATATAACTTGGGGTTAGAACGAACTTCTAGAATTCACACTATGAAAAATCAACAAATGCCTAATTTTTTATTATCTGGTTAAATGTTAATTCATTGTTTTGTAGGTATATAGTACTTAGAAATAAATTTGTTGTTTCATATCAGGTGGATTAAATATATATTTAAGCATACTGATAGGGATTTGTTTTCTAGATCTAGGTTAGGTATTTAATTTGTTTTGTTTTTATTCCTAACAATAGTTTCATAATTACTGAGATGATAAAATATCATTATAAAATTTAAAGGAGGGCAATTTAATAAAATATAATAAGAAAACAAAAGATTATTGTGAATGGTAACATATTTTGTTTTGTCTCATATTTGGTTATTCTTAAGTATTGAAAGAGAGCAAGAAAAAAAAACTAGGTCATCCGAACGGAGATCAAATTAGGAGATCAAAACAAACCATAATAATAATGCATAGGTGGCAATAGCAATAGGCAGAACAAAAGGTAACTCGCAAATATGCATAAAAAGAAATAAGAGAAGAACTTGATTGGTGACTTTTTCTCTAAATTGACCGTAATCAATGATAACTATGTTTGTTGTTGTAATTTTGTTTAAAACAGTGTTGTTGTTTTTTTTTTTTTTTTTTTTTTACGTAATATTTCTTTCTGTCCTCCAATAAAGTTCTTGTCTTCTAGTTTAGCAGATAATATTATGAAACTGTACTCACCCAAAGAAATTGATGTTGTTGAGGCCTCAGCAAGTTCAATCCTTTGTTGTGGGGGCTGTTAAAAAAAATGTATGTATATTTACGAACGACGATGTTTTACATATTGCCAGAATAAAATATCACTAGTATTTAAACGTTTCCATTACCATAATTTTCTTTCATATTTAATATTCTAATGCTCTTAGTAATTCTGGGTGTATGTTTTTTTTTTTTCGATATTCTCCCGTTCTTTAGCACTACACGTCACTTATGTTTCGATGCGCATTCTTGCATATGTCCGAGACAACTGAAAATCCTCGGGAAATGGAGGAGACTACGGAGTGATAGATCGGGCATCGAATTAGTGAGGCAGTTTTTTTCTCTGGGAGCTTTCGTGCTCTTAAAATTAGGGATTCGGACCGTGTGTTTTTTTTTTTTTCTTTGCACTCCAAGTTGACTGGGGAAATATTGTGAGTTTAGACTCTTGGGCGAAATGACGGGAAAAATGTGTTTTGGGATCGCCGAGTATTTAGTTGGTCCCAAGGATTAACGTGAACCTTCTCCTAGGTTTCAGATATTGTCGACAATTTGGAGCCTTTTCATTTTTGTAAATAGCGATAAGCTATATTAGCCGGAGATTGTTTAATGGTTTACAGATGCTAGGATTAGCCAAGGATATTGTATAGAAACCCAAATAAAATCTATAGAAAGGGAATTGCGGGAGAAAATATTTCCTTTGAAACTCTGTTAAAAGGCAAAATATAAGGATTTTAATACCATACCTCCAGCAATAGCTTTCTGATAGCAATCAAAATCAAATTTAATTCAGGAAAAATTTATACTTTTTCAAGATGGTAACGATAATTTCAGATAATGTAACTCGGATTTGGAGTTAGAAAAATTGAATGCTGGTAGACACGTCTGGTAGCTTTTATAAATCACGAGGAAAAGGAAGTATACATATTTCTCTTCAATAGCGTAGGGGCCTGTTTCCATCTCCTAGCGATAACAGGTGTACCTGCTAACCGATAAATACGTAGATTGTACGTTATCGAAACTAACACAATACTTTGTACCCGTTCGTACTCAAGCAAATACTTCAAAAAAAATCTCCTTAAATATAGACGCGGAAGTTTATAAATTTTGATATATTTTAATTTCCCTATTTTAGGGATTTGGGTAATTTTTCGGATATTAAAAATTGAGATCTTAAGTTGCATCCTCTATATGAAGTACCATGTTTCCAATAAAAATTCCATTAGGGCAAAATGTGAAATTTTCTCACATATATCTCTTAGAGATAAGAGGGCTCGACTTTTAGTTAAGTCTATTAGATCGATGTTGCTCTTGAGTGAAATGCTCAGGAAAGAAAAGAAGAAAACAAAATGATGAGGTTCTGTCGGAGTTTTCAACACAAGGCTGAAAACAAGGCAATCTAGTAAGTGCACAAAACTATACCAAAAAAAAAAGATCGCATGCTACAAAAATTGCTGTAAGGTATATATTTGTTTAAATGAGAAAGTAAATACTAAATTAGAATTGGTCATCAATATATCATTACAGATGGGGTAAGATCTTACGGTTCGGAAGTTATAGTCAAATTATCGATTTTTTGGACCCGGATTTTTTATAAAACCCCCAAAAAGTCAAAAAAGGGTCCATTATGGAGGACAACAAAATTGATGCCAAATTATAGCTGACACTTCTACCTTTCCAAAAAGGTTCAATTTGTGCTAATACCTTTACTGAGTCCAGAGATATGGACCCATATCTCTGGAACCGAAAAAGGTATTAGCATGCATGGTACAATGAATTCAAGGTAGGGCAGAACAACCATATGATTTCAATTTTTTCATTTTTCTGGCTTAATATGTCAACTTCATTTGTTTATGTATGTGTATTTTTTTCAATAATAAAAAATTGTTCAGGAATTATTCAAATTTGGGTGTTTTCAGCGTGGCTGAGTGAGGTTTTCTTTAGGAAAACTTCAATTCAGCCTGGCTGAGTGAGGTTTTCTTTAGGAAAACTTCAATTCAGCCTGGCTGAGTGAGGTTTTCTTTTGGGAAAAATTCAATTCAGCCTGGCTGAGTGAGGTTTTCTTTAGGAAAACTTCAATTCAGCCTGACTGAGTGAGGTTTTCTTTAGGAAAACTTCATTGCAGCGTGGCTGAGTGAGGTTTTCTTTAGAAAAACTTCATTGCAGCCTGGCACCTGATAGATCTTCTTATTCAAGATGAATGTAACTTTTTGTTGATCATCAATGTAATTAGTTTAGTATGTACTTAATTTAAATCCCGCCAACCTAACCTAACTTTTTTCTCACCTTTAAAATGAAACAAACATTCCATCCTTTTTTCTTTATAGATTTTGTTTTATTGGAACTAAAGTGGTATTTATTTTATTATTTAATTTAAATTGTTTTAAGTCAAATATTTGTTTTCATGTTCTTGTTTTTAATTTTATAGGTTAGAGTTTTCTCAGTTATTTATGTATGTATGTAATTAGGCATATATTTACTATATATATATAAAAGCATTTTAATTAAATATATCTGGTTTTTTGTTATGCTTGAATGTGTCATTTTGTAAATATAATACAAGTGTTTTGGTTGTCTTTATTTTTTTATAGCTATAAACTATTGTTTTGTTTATGGTTATTTGAGGTTATGTTTAAAAAAATTGAAAAAAATCTTATTATTATTAATAAGAATGGGATTCGATTTCGATTTTAGTTTTGGGGGTAATGTCAGCATTTCCAAACTTTCATATTCATTTATACAAATCATTCATTTTGAAAATTTTAAATATTTATAGGCGCCTAATATCTCATATTTTCATAATATTTTTTTGGGCTAGTCTATTTAGTATCTAACCTTCATTGTTAAAGAGTTTATTTAGTTCGTTTATTTTTAAGTTTTTGTTTTTTTTTTGTTTTTGGCTAACTACATTAAAAACTCATTCACAGTCAGACAATTTCATTGATTTTTTGTGTTACAATTTTATGTAGGGTTTTTTCGTTTTTATTTTTTTAATTAAACAAAGAAAGTATTTTGCAAATACTTTTTATAAAAATAAAAGAAAATAATATTATTGTTTTAGATGCATCCTTTATCAGCATTATGTGATTAACAAGGTAATCTTCGATTTCTAAATGACTGCTTGATAAAATTTGCATTCAAGTGGCGTTTTTACACTAAATCATTAAAACATGTCTTGCCATACGCCAGTATCTAGGGTGATATACCCAAAAGAGTTGCCATCGTTTTGTTTGGCGGCAAAAAGTAAAGCACTGGCCAATGAGGAACATAAACAAAAAAATTTTTTTCTTTGTCCCCGCATGCCAAAACTCATTTCATATTGCTGCAATATTTTGTGTATGCCTCTCAAATAAGATTACCTTGTCAATTGCCACATGTCTCTGGGTTTAGGAGGAAGTTGTTGCCACTATGTATGTAATTTTGATCGCCAAATAAAATATGAATATTGGGGGGATAAATAATATCCTGGGTATTAAATTGCTAATGATGGCAGCAATAATACTATTTCCGTTTTTTTGCTTGCTTTGGATTTTCGAAAAAGTGTAAATGCATTTTATTGATATAATTTTTTAGATGTCTTAATTTGTCATTAAATGTTTTTTAATACATAATGTAACTGTATTTGAGGGATATATTTTTGTTGGTAATATTTTATTTTATATGAAGTAAAGTGATCTCTTTTTTAAATTGGCTGAAAAAATGTAACGATCTTCATATGTATGTTTTTTTATACCAGACATTAATAATAAAATATAAAAATTGTATTCAAATAAATAGTTGAAGTATAAAAGAAATTAAAATTCTAATTATTGCCGTTTTTTTTTTTTTTTTTTTTTTTTTCAAATAAATAGTTTGAAAACAAATTAAAATTCTAATTTGTTCCGAAACACAATTTAAATATGTTTTACAGTGGCTTCAATACAAATTTTGGGTCATCGACGATATATTGATCAAAAACAATATTACACCGCCACCAAAATTATTTTTTTTGATAGCTCATGATAGAGGCATGTTAATATAAAAACCACAATTACAGAAACAAATGACAAATAAATGTTTGAAAAATCAAAAAATGAGGTTTTAAAATTCTATTCTATAGATCTTTCCAAAAATTTCCATATTACCTTAATAGTTTAAATCAGTTAACATTGGTACTATGTTGTAATGATATCATAACGACGATGGTATTTATTACAGGGTTGCCATATTTTTATTCTGTCTTGTTCTTGTGCATGGTAGAAGAATATACGTTTTCTTATACGACGCAAATCGGAGGTTGTAATGATTTGTATTTTTCAACAATTTTTAGAAATTTCAATAATTTTTCATTCACGATTTTCAGTATCAAAATCGGTTTGACAGTTCCCTGTCCCAGCAGCCAACTGTTGGATATTCAAAAGCCTTTTTGACACTAGAAGACGCCAGCATAGAGTTGCATTTTTCTGGTTTCTTTGAATTTGAGCAACCTTTCTTATTAAGCCATGATATGGACCAAATTTGCCCTTTTTGTGGCGAAATAAAACTTTTGGGATATATAGATAATTATTTTGAAAATAAATCATATCTCTGGTTCAGTTTTCGCATTTTTTGTATATTTCTTTATTGGAGCCAATCAAACAAGTTTTTGTGTTTATTGTTGATTGATTACAAGCTTCTGCTTCACGGTTTGAAGCCTAAAGCTGTGAGTACATAAGCAGCTTGGCATCATAGATAGGCATATTAATGTCAAATTATTAGGAAAAATGACGGCAGGATTCGAGTACGGCTCTGGCATATCTTTATGAAAATATGCCAGGCGAAGATTTCAAGCTGTTCATGTACTCACACCGTAAAACAGAGTCAACGTTTAGGCTGGAAATACATAAAGCGTATATTTGGCTGGCTTAAGTCATCGCCTGGCTTCTTCGTAAATGAACAAAGGAGTTTTAGGTTGACCTAGTTCGATTTTGGCCCTAGGCTCCTTTGTTCATTTCCGAAGAAGCCAGCCGATGACTTAAGCCAGCCAAATAAGCGCTTTATGTATTCCCAGCTTTACATCATTGATTTGCTCATAGTTGTTGTCGAGAGGCGAGGGGACCTCACATTGTTGACCGATATTGCCTTTAAGAGCTGAAAGAGTCTAAGGCTTCTAGACATAGCCCCGCGACTTCAAAAGCTGATTGCAGTCATGTTTTTGTAAGGCTTCCGTCTGTTTCATTTTCTTGCAAATGAGAATATAACTTCTTTTCTCTCTCAGTCTGACCTAATAATTCGCCAAAAGGCAACGGCAGTTTTTGCATCTTAAATCTGCTCTTTAAGTATGTTGCTATGCGTTGAAGTTTAAGGTGTAACAATTGTCATGGATTAAATATAACAAATCACAATAGAGTTTAATGAATGAAGCCACTGTAGTCAAAAATCAATGAAATATTTTATAATTAATTAAAATCGTAAATAAATTTATGAATTAAATTAAAAAATTAAGTAAATACAAAATTAATCAATTTCGATGATTTTTTAAACCTTACCATTTAATGTTATATATCAATATATTAGTACTTATGAACTAAAAAAATGTTTATTTTTAATACTAGAAAAATTTTCAATTTTGCAATTCCTTTTAAACCTTTTTTGTGTGTTTTTTTTGTTAAATTTTGTTTTTAATTTATCTTATATAGACTAATATTACTACAAATATTATTGATAATATTTGGTAAAAATGTTTTTTTGTTTATTTTTGTTCATTTGATGAAGTTTAAGGCCAGCCTAATAAATTTAATATTTCAACTGACCTGATCTTCTTGCATGTACCTTGTCACGAAACAAATTATAACGAAATATTAAGACATCCATCTCTTTTGTGAGGCTTTCAAAAAAATTTAATTTCTTTTTTGCCACAGGATAGTAAATTCATAATTTAATATTTATTAATGATTTTTTTACTTAACGTTTTTTCTCATTTTCATGTTTTTTTAATTTTTAAATCCAATTGTAGTAGATCAAAGAGTATATTTTGTTTTGTTTAATATGGGGGAATTAAATTTCAATATCTTATGTTTGTTTCTAGGATTGCCAACATTTGATATTATGTTATTGTTGGTTCCCATGGTAGGCGCGAATTAATTTAAAAATGTAGTATCTTTTATATATATTTATTTTATAATTAATTATTTTTATTATTTTTTTTTTTTGGTTTTATAAAGTCTTTATAATAATGTTAAGTTGTTCATTACCTGTAGTTTAAAGAGAGCGAGAACTATGATTTTTATGTTGGCAAATAATAAATTTTATTAAATATATATTTACATTTTGGGGGAAATTTTGGCAATTTGGACTCTAGGTTAAGGTTCTGATACTGGAAAATCATATGATCATTGGAAAATATTCTTTCGTTTCACAAACCAAAGAATTTCATCAAGAATTACCCACTGAGATCGTTGAGTTATCATACACACGTGAATGCTTTGTTGCCATGCGTTGAAATGTAAGGTACACCCATTATAATGGATAAAAAATGACAAATCACAATATTGATTAATAAATGAAGCAAATTCAGACAAAAATCAGTAATAAATTAATTTCAATCGTGAAAAGGAATGAATAAATTAAAAATAAATAAAAAATGTTTACTAAATAATAAATCTCAACACATTTGGACACACTTTTACCTCATCTCTAATACATCTCAATAAGGGTTTCCATAGAAAACCCTTCAGCTGAATGGTTTGCTGCCATACGTTAAAATGTAAGGTACACCCTTTGTCATGTATAAAAATGACAAATCACAATAGTGGCCAATACATGAAGCCACTGCAGGCAATTCAGCTTGGCTGAATGAACGTTTCTATAGGAAAACTTCAATTCAGCCTGGCTGAGTGAGGTTGTCTTTAGGAAAACTCCAAATCAGCCTGGCTGAGTGGAGTTTGCTTTAGGAAAACTCAAATTCAGCCTGGCTGAGTGAGGTTTTCTTTAGGAAAACTTCAATTCAGCCTGGCTGAGTGAGGCTTTCTTTAGGAAAACTTCAGTTCAGCCTGGCTGAGTGAGGTTTTCTTCGGGAAAACTTCAGTTCAGCATGACTGAGTGAGGTTTTCTTCAGGAAAACTTCAGTTCAGCCTGGCTGAGTAAGGTTTTCTTTAGGAAAACTTCAATTCAGTCCGGGTGAGTGAAGGATTTCTTTAGGAAAACTTCAATTCAGCCTGGCTGAGTGAGGTTTTCTTTAGGAAAACTTCAATTCAGCCTGGCTGAGTGAGGTTTTCTTTAGGAAAACTTCAATTCAGCCTGGCTGAGTGAGGTTTTCTTTAGGAAAACTTCAATTCAGCCTGGCTGAGTGAGGTTTTCTTTAGGAAAACTTCAATTCAGCCTGGCTGAGTGAGGTTTTCTTTAGGAAAACTTCAATTCAGCCTGGCTGAGCGAGGTTTTCTTTAGGAAAACTTCAATTCAGCCTGGCTGAGTGAGGTTTTCTTTTGGAAAACTTCAATTCAGCCTGGCTGAGTGAGGTTTTCTTTAGGAAAACTTCAATTCAGCCTGGCTGAGTGAGGTTTTCTTTAGGAAAACTTCAATTCAGCCTGGCTGAGTGAGGTTTTCTTTAGGAAAACTTCAATTCAGCCTGGCTGAGTGGAGGTTTCCTTTAGGAAAACTTCAATTCAGCCTGGCTGAGTGGAGGTTTCCTTTAGGAAAACTTCAATTCAGCCTGGCTGAGTAGAGGTTTCCTTTAGGAAAACTTCAATTCAGCCTGGCTGAGTGGAGGTTTCCTTTAGGAAAACTTCAATTCAGCCTGGCTGAGTGGAGGTTTCCTTTAGGACAACTTCAATTCAGCCTGGCTGAGTGGAGGTTTCCTTTAGGACAACTTCAATTCAGCCTGGCTGAGTGGAGGTTTCCTTTAGGACAACTTCAATTCAGCCTGGCTGAGTGGAGGTTTCCTTTAGGAAAACTTCAATTCAGCCTGGCTGAGTGGAGGTTTCCTTTAGGAAAACTTCAATTCAGCCTGGCTGAGTGGAGGTTTCCTTTAGGAAAACTTCAATTCAGCCTGGCTGAGTGGAGGTTTCCTTTAGGAAAACTTCAATTCAGCCTGGCTGAGTGGAGGTTTCCTTTAGGAAAACTTCAATTCAGCCTGGCTGAGTGGAGGTTTCCTTTAGGAAAACTTCAATTCAGCCTGGCTGAGTGGAGGTTTCCTTTAGGAAAACTTCAATTCAGCCTGGCTGAGTGGAGGTTTCCTTTAGGAAAACTTCAATTCAGCCTGGCTGAGTGGAGGTTTCCTTTAGGAAAACTTCAATTCAGCCTGGCTGAGTGGAGGTTTCCTTTAGGAAAACTTCAATTCAGCCTGGCTGAGTGGAGGTTTCCTTTAGGAAAACTTCAATTCAGCCTGGCTGAGTGGAGGTTTCCTTTAGGAAAACTTCAATTCAGCCTGGCTGAGTGGAGGTTTCCTTTAGGAAAACTTCAATTCAGCCTGGCTGAGTGGAGGTTTCCTTTAGGAAAACTTCAATTCAGCCTGGCTGAGTGGAGGTTTCCTTTAGGAAAACTTCAATTCAGCCTGGCTGAGTGGAGGTTTCCTTTAGGAAAACTTCAATTCAGCCTGGCTGAGTGGAGGTTTCCTTTAGGAAAACTTCAATTCAGCCTGGCTGAGTGGAGGTTTCCTTTAGGAAAACTTCAATTCAGCCTGGCTGAGTGGAGGTTTCCTTTAGGAAAACTTCAATTCAGCCTGGCTGAGTGAGGTTTTCTTAAGGACAACTTCAATTCAGCCTGGCTGAGTGAGGTTTTCTTTAGGACAACTTCAATTCAGCCTGGCTGAGTGAGGTTTTCTTTAGGACAACTTCAATTCAGCCTGGCTGAGTGGAGGTTTCCTTTAGGAAAACTTCAATTCAGCCTGGCTGAGTGGAGGTTTCCTTTAGGAAAACTTCAATTCAGCCTGGCTGAGTGGAGTTTTCCTTTAGGAAAACTTCAATTCAGCCTGGCTGAGTGGAGGTTTCCTTTAGGAAAACTTCAATTCAGCCTGGCTGAGTGGAGGTTTCCTTTAGGAAAACTTCAATTCAGCCTGGCTGAGTGGAGGTTTCCTTTAGGAAAACTTCAATTCAGCCTGGCTGAGTGGAGGTTTCCTTTAGGAAAACTTCAATTCAGCCTGGCTGAGTGGAGGTTTCCTTTAGGAAAACTTCAATTCAGCCTGGCTGAATGAAGGATTTCTTTGGGAAACCCTCAATCCAGCCTGGCTGAGTGAAGGTTTTCTTAGGTAAAACTTCAATTCAGATCATTTTTTAGGAATGCTCAGCTGAATCTAATTTTAATTTCAGAAATTTTCCAAAAGTTTTGTTTCATTTTCGTACAAATTTTGCCAAAATTTTCCCCGATCCTTAACTACCTACGTATATGTAATAAATAAATAAAATTTTGAGCTTATTGGGGGGTTTGTATACATATCGGAATCAACATCAAGACATTGATTTTCTTACAAAAATTCTTTTTTTTTTCTAATCTTCTATTTTTTGTATTTTTTGTTTCAAATCCACACACTATCTATGCTTTGTCCTCCTATCTAATTAGTACTCTATCCAGCCAACCACTCAAATTGTCCACACTTGCACTTTTTCGGCAACCACACACCAACTGGCCCGCTCATAGTACGACGAGACAATGTGCAGACTGGCCACATGATGATTGATCAGAGCATCAAGTTCACCCTCACGAAAGACGTGATAGTAGCGATGGTGTGTAGTGGCGCCACCTTGTGAGGGGCTGTCAAGTGATGTGGTCGAACTGTTGGAATGTTCCCACGATTCGGTCGATTGATTGCGATTTTGCAGTGTCGTCTCTTCGCCGGAACTCTTTTTCGTCTCATCCTCGCGGTCTTCGAGCGAATCACATTTGAGGGTTGTGTCTTTGGTCTTCGTTGAGGAACGATCGTTGTCTTGGCTCGGTTCATCTTCATCCTCTTCGTCTTCTTCGGGTATGACATCGTGTTCGATTTCTTCTTCCACCTCGTTGTCTTCCTCCTCGTCCTTGAAGGAGGAATCTTCGTCTTGCAGCAAATACGTGGTCTCGGGATGTAAATTATTGTTGTGTAGATGGCGCTTGTAGTTCAGCTTGGAGATTTTACAGTTTTCGTAAAGCTGTAGCGAATAGCTACGTTCGTGTTCCTCCTCATCTTCTTCTTCGTCCTCTTCGTGTATGGTAAAGCTGCGCGTCTGCGAGGATAGCGAAGATGTGGAAGAGGAATTGGGTGATTGATTCAGGCTGGGCTGGGTGGAAAGATTGGCCAACATCAGACGCCGTTCTCTCAACTCATCCCTTAAGGCAGTCAAATCCTTGTCGCCATTACGTTTCCTGTTGGGCGCCAGGGGAGCAAATGGATCATCGTAAAATTCTTCATTGACATTTTCCAGGCTACGACTTTTTGTCTCTCGACTTTGGGTTTTCTCCTCCAGCTCACGCATTAACTGAGCACTAAGTTTTTCCGCAAATTCAGCACAATCCTCGGGAGGATTGCTTTGCTGGCCACCGTATTTGGTGGGCACAATATCTCCGGCATCTTCGTTGACAATGATATCGGAATCGGCAGGAATGGGAGACTTCTTATCAGCTTGAGCATTTGTTTCGTTTGATTTTTCCTTCTCCTCCAGAGGACTTGAGTCTTTGGCCTGATCGAGACTGGGAGCCGTGGTCAGGGCATTTGATCTGGGAGCACTAATGACACTATCCACGGAATCGGGTGAGGAAGGTTCACTGGAATCACTGTCCAAATCATCTGTGGCCGGATTGAAAAGTTCCAAGGACATTAGCTTGGGTATGGTGGCAATGGCTGCGCCTCCAGACGCCGTTGTGGTCCTTCGGACAATGGGATAATTTTGCCGGCTAATTTGCAAGGATTGCTGTTTACGAAACTTGGGTATGGGTGGCAGATTTTGTATGGTTTGCCGGGTAATCTTGGGTTCCAGTAGGGTTTTCTTGGGCAAAATGTCTTTTTCGAAAGGATCCCTAAGTGGTTCGGTTTTCCTGATTTCCGTTTTCAAGTTTTGTTGTTGTTGCTGCTGCTGTTGTTGTAGCATATCCTTGGTTTCCTGTTGCCGTATGTGGGCCTCATCAAAGTTAAAGCGGGTCTTGTTAAAACCATTTACCATGGGTTTCTCTTGGGCGCCATTTGTAACCTCCTCCGTTATGGTCGTTTTTACGGCTGACTGGGGTGGTGTAAACATGGCCATGGCCGCCACCACGGCTGGCACCGTTTGAGGCGGCGAGGTTACCTGGGTCTGGGCAGCGGCCGGTGAGTGGGCAGGTGTGGGTGGACAGGGCATAATTAGCGGTGAGGTTGGCACTGATGATATACGATGACCATTTATGTCCAGCTTACAACATTGGGCGCCACCGCCCAACGTGGACGAGGAAACACAACGACTCTGACAACAGGTCTTGTGTACGTAGCACCCGCCACTTCCGCCACCATTGCTCGACGAGGAGTTACTCGAACTGGAATTGGAATTTTGATGTTGTTTTTGATAGTTCAGCTGTTGCTGATGTTGCTCCGGCTTGGGTATGAAGATGACGGAGGCAAAACTATCTTCAGACTCTATACTGGTATCCGATTGTAGGCTACTATCCTTGGACGAGTCAGAACCAGATTCTCGGGAATGGCGTCGTGCCTTTTCCTCACCACTCTCAGCATTGCATTGGCTACAGCCCTGGTGATAGGTCTGGCAATAGCATGCGGTGGCGGCACATTCCAAACTCTTGCAAATGGTTACCGGTCCGGCAAATTTATTGGTCGTTGGAGCGGTATTCTGGCGATGTAGTAGATGATGTAAATGGGTTTGAAAATTACTAACTAAGGGAGAGTTCTGTTGTTGTTGCTGCTGCTGTTGCTGGTAGTGTTGTTGATGGTGGTGGTGATGATGATGTTCATGGGTACACATGGCCGCCTTGGAGGCCTTTACCGTGCTGGGACAGGGTCCATTGCCGGCGGGCGACTTCTCTTCATTGCCGGTCGTCTTGAGGTTTTGCATGATTTTTGTAATACCCGTTTTGGTTACCCTCTCCAGGCTGCCCGTGGAACTTTTAATTTTACTTGTGAATCCCTCACGTATGACCTGCAGCCTCTTCGAGAAGAGAGCGGAACGACATAGGAATGCCTCATTCAGGGACATTTGTTTTTGTATCCGCTTTCGAACCCTTTCCTTTTCTCTTATCCGATTGCCGGCCATCAGCTCTTCATTTAGGGAACTTTGTTTTCTCATCTGACGTGTGGTCAGGTGGCTGGAATCGGTGCGATTCGGCATCGTTTTCCCAGAGGCATAGAGCGTACTGGTCACACCATTTGTCGCCACATTGTATTGGCTCAACATATGGAAAGGGGTATCTGGCAGTTGATAATCTTCATCGCATAGCGACTGCTTTTGTTTGATAAGTTTAGGACGGCGACTGAGATTCGATGAGGTTAGCAGATTAGAGTTGGGTGAAGTACTCGAGTGATTGATGGGAGAATGGCCATTCGAATGACTGCTGGAGTTGGGAGAACCTGAGGCGCCACCGGCCCCAGCTGCTGATGGCGTAGCTCCATAATGCGGAGCATCGAGGAATTGCAGATTTTTACTACCATTCTCAACGACGACACCGGGGACCAAAGGACCACCCAGACTCGGGACACTTGAACGTGAGCGTACAATTTGTCGTGGTGGTGGATTGAGTATACTACCCAGACTGCGTGACTTAAGACCCGCCGATAGTGGTGGATCTGTGAAATCTTCGAAATCTTCCAGGCGTCTAAGTTCGATGGGCAAATCTTTGGCATCTTCATAGTCCATGCTGCTGTCGTTCTTGGTGTCCTTGGATGTCCAGGATTCCAAGAACCAGGCATGTTTACGGCCGCCGGCTAGTTTCTGTAAAAAAAGCAGCCAAACAAAAAATTTAATATTTCCTCCATGGCTTCCAAAACTCTTCCCACTTACCTGTATGGCCCGCCTCACAAAACTATAACACGATTCACCCGGTGAGGATGACGACAAACTTGAGCTATCACCATCCCCCGCCGAACGACTGGAATTGGTGGAATCCTCTGTATAGGCATGATAGGGTGGCAAGAAATCTTCATCATCCTCCTCATCGGAATAGTTAAAGTTACGATTCTTGGGTGGCTGCCATGGTATTAGAACATCCTGCGACTCGAAACGACGATGCCGTTGCTCCAATGCCCACACAGTTATCACAACCCGTCCACCAATTCGTAGGATTCTTGCCAATTCTCGCAGCGCATTTACCCGACGCTCTGTTGTGGCAAAATGGTGAACTACAGCAATTGAGAGCACGGCATCGAAAGACTCATCACGAAATGGCAATTCGAGATTATCGCAGAGAGCAACCTGGAAAGAGAGAGAGAGAGAAATGAGTTAGACTAGGAATTGAATTGAGAAAATCGAAATTATTGGCCCGCTCCAGTATCCGCTCAAAAAATCTCAGCGAGCCTATGAGACAAGGTCTGGTTACACAAGTTGATGAGCGACGGTCATAAGTTCTATATTGTCTAGCAAAGACGAAGAGCAGTGTTACTCTGGAAGATTGGCCCATAAGAAACAGAATCTTCAAATAACAAGAGTATAAACTAGATAAGTCCTCGCTGTTCCTATGTAAGATGTCCAAAAAAAATATATGCCTGCGGTTGATCCCAAGCCGAGATGAGATCTCAGAGTCATTTTATTCAGAACATAGTAAGAATGTTGTTATGAAAGCCTAGCCTGTAAAATACGCACAGCCATCAAATGACAGCAGTATGAACTTGGATCTTTCAATTACTAGTTCTCGAGAACTTCCAGATCCTCTTTGCCGGAGACTACATTAGGAATAATAGATGTCTGAAACTCAGCCCTGCGTGTAGTATAGGTTCGCACGCTGCATCTCTTTAATTGCCCTGCAAAATCTACCCCACTCATTCCTAAAGATCTTATGGTGACTGGTCTTATGGTGTTGCAGTATCTTTCGAAATCACCTTTTCAACTGATAGGCTTGGCAGAGCCAAATTTACGGATTAAGTAACAGGCTTGGATTTCATCTTCATCCTCCCAGCCCTTTTAGTGATCTACCTTTTCATAGATTTAACCCCAGCCTTCAGCCTTCCCTTGTTTTGGGGGTGGTACCTCCGGCTCTGGCACTTCAGGGGTCTTTTTTTATGCTTCTTTGTTCCAATTTCTAGGGTCTAGCAGGCTTCGATTTCCTCTTCATTTTCACAGTCTTCTTAGTGATCTGCGGTTCCATAGATTTAACCTCAGCCTCGACTTCCTTTGTTCTTCTCGCAGTCTTTTTAGTGGTCTGCAGTTCCATAGATGTAACCTCAGTTTCTTTCTTCTCCTTAGTTGGTCCCTTCCAATTGATGGACTTGGCAGAGCCAATTTTGAAGGTTAAGTAGGCTTGGATTTCCTCTTCTACTTCACAGCCTTTTTATTGGTGCCCGTTTTAATAGATTTGACCTTAGCCTTGCCTTCACTTGTTTTGAAGTGTGGTACCTTCGGCTCTGGGACTTCAGATGCCTTTTTTTAAGCCATCTTTGTACCAGTCTCCTTCGTTACCACTTTTCCAACTGATGGCCTCGGTAGAGCCAATTTCAAGAGTTTAGCAGGCTTCGATTTCCTCTTTTTCCTCGCAGCCTTTTTAGTGGTCTGGGGTTCTATAGATTTAACCTCAGCATCGCCTTCCCATGTTTAGGAGGGCGGTACTCCGGCTTTGGCACTTCAGTAGCTTTTGTTTAAAGGCTTCTTTGTTCCAGTCTCCTTTGCTAACACTTTTCCAGAGTTTTCCTGCAGTCGTTGCCTTTTTTGAGGCCTCGACTGGATTCACCACTGTTCTGCATGTGGGGATCGTACTTATCGTGAGATCCCTTAGTGTTGTGTTAGGATACGTCCTCTCGAACTTCAGGTGCGTCCTAATAAGTTGCGGCTCCTTAGCAGTGAGCTTTGATGGATCTCCATCAATAGTTCGACTACTGTAGTTTACTGCTCGCCGATGTGCTTTTTTACCCCTCATCTCCCTAGGATTTGGCGCACTTGGTGTTGTCGGGAAAGCTCAGCGGCACTTTTTTCAATATTCCATGTCATTATCGCCGTAAAGGGCCATGGCCTCTGTATCATGGCAATGACTCGGTAAGTAAAGCTGATATTCGTTGAGGCTCTCATGTGTCAACGAAGCTCTGTTGGAATACAGTTGATACCCTGGCACCACCTTTCCAACTGATGGACCAATTTTAAAGGTTTTTTAGTAGGCTCGGATTTCCTTTTCTTCCTCGCAACCTTTTTATTGGTATGCGCTGCCATAGATATAACCTCAGCATCGCCTACCCGTTTTTTTTTGGAGGGAGGTACCTCCGGTTCTGGCACTCCAGAGGCCTCTTTTAAAGACTTCTTTGTTCCAGTCTCATTAGATACCACCTTTGCAGATAAGCAGGGATTTTCCGCAGTAGTCTTTTCTGGGACTTTTCTCCTTTGATACCACCTTTGCAGAGGTTTTCCGCAGTAGTCTTTTCTGGGACCTGGACTATTTTCACCACTGTTCTGCATGTGGGCACCGTGCTTATCGGGAGAGATCCCTTAGTGTTGCCTTAGGATTTGTCCTGCAGCAACTTAACAGTGAGCTTTGACGGTTCTCCGTCAACATATCGACTACGGTAGTTTACTGCTCGGCAATGTGACTTTTTATCCCTCATCTCCTTGGATTTGGCGCTCTTCAGGAGAGCTCAGCGGCACTTTTATCAATCCTCAATATGTCATTGTCGTCGCGAAGGATCATGACCTCCATACCAAGGCAATGAATTGGTAACTAAATCTGATGTTCGTTGAGGCGCCCAGGTATCAACGAAGCTCCGTTAGAAAACAGTTCGGAACACTGATGGATATGAGGTCACCAGCTTTAGGGGGGTCCTCTATATGTGGGAACCAGACCAGCAATTCGGCTATTTTAGGGGCTCCGAAACATAGCCTCATTAGTCTAAGGATCATTGGTACTTGGTTATTTGAGCCGAGACTCTCCCCCTCACCCGCTGTCTGTCCGCGACTGCTTATTCAATCCTTAGCTACTGAGTATATCTTCTGGGCTCTCCACTGTCCGAAACAACGATAGCAATCAGCTATGCCCCCCGAACACTTGGAAATTAGGGAATGACCGACAGCTTTGTTAAGAAATGAGAATTTACCTTAGTTGTAGTTCTACAAAAGGCCTAAATCAAGTGTGGATTTTATAAATATAATTTCTATGGAAGTTTTGAATTAAAATTCCAATTTTCGGACATTTTTGTTACATAACTTTTTTATACCCTCCACCATTATATGGTGTCTGTCTGTTCGTCTGTCTGTTGTAATCACGCTATCTTTCGAGCGATTTGAGATAGAAGGCTAAAATTTTGCACACATGTTTATTTTGCCAGTAGGCAGGTTAAGTTCGTAAATGGGTCATGTAGGCCCACATTTTCATATAGCCCCCATATAAGGGTACCTCCCGATATTCGGTATTTTGATGATTTTACCGACATTTTCCCCGGAATTGTATCAAATTTGATATTTGAAGTTCGAAATGGATACTACAGCCTAGGACAGAAAATTGTCTGTGCAGGTCCACGTCTTCGTATAGCCCCCATATAACGGTACATCCCGATATTCGGTATTTTGATGATTTTAGCGTCATTTTTCACCGGAGTAGTTTCAAATTACGTATTTGAAGTTCGTAATGGATGCCAGAAAAGTATCTATACAGGATCAGGTCTTCTCGTGTAGCTCCGATTTAACGGTACCTCCCTATAAACGGTATTTTGAAGATGCTACATTATACCCTTTTATAATATGGTAATGGCTTATAACGAACAATGCCTATATAGGTCCACGTCGTATAGACCCCAATATAACGGCTATATTCGGTATTTTTAAGATTTTGATAGAATTTTTAACGGATTTTATTTTTTGAAAATTTCCAATTTTTTTTCCAAATGGTGGAGGGCATTCAAAGTTCGGCCCGACCGTACTTACTGCTTTTTAACTTGTTATACCCTACACCACAAGGTGGTCAGGGTATTATGTCTTTGTGCATTTGTTTGTAACCGGCAAAAGGAAACGAGATAGACCCATAGTTCCTTTTGATGATCTGCATAGAATTACATTCTGAGTCGATTTATGCATGTCCGTCCGTCCGTCTGTCCATGTATTTTTGTAAACAAAGTACAGTTCGCATTTATTGCCCCATCTAGATGAAATTTTGCACAAATCATTTGTTTGGCCCAAGGACGAACCCTATTGAAATCTGAGATAATCGGTCAATAGTCCATATATAACTTCGTCCGATTTACTTTTAATTGTGCACCAAACGTCTAATATTTGTCCAAATGGGATGGAATTTGGCACTTACGACCGAATTGAGTCTAGAAGCTAGTATGTCAAATTTGGTGAAGATCGGTTCAGATATAGCTATAGCTCCCATATATAATGTTCATCCGATTTGTAACTTTTGTCCTCCGCAGCCGTAATATGCACTCTGTAACAACAATATTTGGGGAAATATATCAAATACAGCTCAGAATTACATTTGCTAAATTTTATCGAGATCGGTTCAGATTTGGATATAGCTTCCATATATAACTTCGTCCGATTTACCTTTTATTGTGCACTAAACGTCTAATATTTGCCCAAATGGGTTGGAATTTGGCACATACAACCGAATTGAGTCTAGAAGGTAGTATGTCAAATTTGGTGAAGATCGGTTCAGATATAGCTATAGCTCCCATATATACTGTTCATCCGATTTGTTATATTTGTTACCCACGGCCGTAATATGCACCCCGTAACAACGATATTCAGGGAAATATATCAAATACAGCTCAGGAATGTATTTGCCAAATTTTATCGAGATCGGTTCTGATTTGGATATAGCTCCCATATATATTTTCCGTTTTCAAATTAATTGTGCACCAAATGGGCAATAGAAGTCCGAATTTAAAGGATACAAATGCTTCGGCATATTTAGTCCTTTGAACTTTAAATTATAATTATAATCATAGCGTGTATGAATGACTTCTCCAATAAAAACTTTTAATTGTTTCGCGGAGCTCTACTAAATTAGCAAAGTGGTGTAGGGTATCATAAAGTCGGCCCCGCCCGACTTTAAGACTTTCTTTACTTGTTTTTTTAATTTTTTTATTTCATCTTCTTTATTTTCAATCTCCATGAAAAGCCCTTTTAAAAATGCATTAAGTATTAAATGAACATTTGTCATCCTCTCACATGTGTGTGTGTCTTATGTGCACATGTATGTGTGAGAATAACGAAACGGCAAAATTGTATGCCTTTTGTCATCGATATTCGTATCGTATTGAGATATCAATTTTCAATTG